CCCCCCCCCCCCAACAGATAAAGTAATTACATAACTGTGAATCTAAGTGAAAGCAAACAGCAAGTTGCTCACTTCACTCATTTTATTTTGTAGCACGCTCTGTACTTACAGAGTACACGGAGTACTCGCAAAGTGTGTATCTCCAAGACCATTACTTAATGACCTTTGTGTGTGCTTGGAAAAATATATAAACACATCTGGATTTTTATTGGACACCAAAATGAATTCTTCAGAACCACATTCGCATAGTTTTACTGTTTATTTTTAAAAAAGCCTTTTTAACATAGCAGAGCCTTCCATCTAAAAGCCTCACATGCACAGGGGAAACACACACCGCAACGCTAAACCTGCAGCATCCTAAACAGCCACATGATCTTCCCAGTGTTTATGATGACACAGTTAAAAGTGTTGAATTCAGTCAAGGATCTGAGGTGATACACTAATAAAATATCACAACATGAGGCCCCACACTGTCTGGCTTTCTCTGGTAATGTGATACAGCTCAAACATTGTCTCTTGTGAATCAAGAGCGGCATCGATGTCAGATTAAAAATTTCACACAACTAGGTGTCATGTGAATTTCTGTTATGCTGCTGACAGTACAAGCACTGATACCTAACCGAAAATATTAGAGTTCAAAGATTATTGGAAATGTTTTAAACCAGAGACGATACAAAGCTTCGGTTTCTTCATACCAAAGTACTTTAGATTTGGACAAAAATAGTTTTAACAAAATGTGGAAACACAAGCAGCCAAATACGTAAACTGGCTAAATTCAAAAGTATAAAGATGGCAAATTACAAATAATAAACTTGCTGTTAAAAAAAAACCTTTCTATATCAAAAACACTTAATATTCAGCCTGATGAAAGGCTTGCTGGCAATAATTTCAATAGCAGCTTTGCCAGACCCATAAAAACTGTAATGACATGTTGGACATGTTGCTTCTCTCATCAAAGCAGCAATCACTGTCTGCATGCTGCTTCCCCCATACACAAAACTACCATCTCCTCTGGCACAATAATGTTGACATTGTTTGAAAAAAGGCCACATAGTTATGTTAAGCATGTTGGCAAACACTGTTTGGTGATTGTTATCATATGCAGCTGTTGACACATTAACACTTTCTCACATATCATTGTGCTAGGGATGTTACTAAGGCTAGCACGTTTTGGGGGCTTTACCACACTCAGAAACACACTGTCCAGAGAGGCAAACTAAGCAAACACCCTTTGGTCTCCTAACAAAAAGAGAAGCTTCTAATTAGGCTCTCCTATTGGCACATTTTGCAGTGATAACTATAAAACTCTCTTAAAGGAGACCTATTAAGCTTTTCCTTAGTTTCTCTCATACAAATGGCTATTAAAGATTCAAAAAAATGAGATGAGCATATGTGCAAGTAATGCCTGTAAAACACCAAAAGCTCAGGCTTAGTATGACATCTCTTATATGGTTGAACATTGGAGATGCGCCAATGGCCCCACCATAAGGACATAAATAAGGAATTGTGAATCATTCAAAGCTACTTAGGTAGGGTCAAAGAATGAGAAGTGTAGAGTATAGTATAGAACCATCGCCTCACTGGGGCTCCGTAGTTAGATTACAGAAGCCCCACATGCAAAGAACAACAGCTGTATTTTTTAATGTGAGAGAATCTCTAACAGAGTATTGTTGAATAATTTATGTATTTATTGCAATCCTTTGTCATTTAAACACTAAGACATGTTTTTTTGTCTATGGTGTTATTTATTGTTTAATGGGTGGTCAAGTAAACCAATTAATGCAGTGGCAAACTGATTTTTATGAGGGTATGTGGGGGGAGAAGGGTCGTTACGGTGGTCTTCTTTGCCGAGGCTGCACCACAGTGCTGCATCTCCTTTGTAAAACGCTTCCTTTAAAATGTTTTTATATGTAGAAGTATACCATTTCGAGCTAAAATGGCCTCTTGGTATCAAGCCAGTTTGGACTCATAGAGTTATACTTCATCTGAACATAATTAAGGTCTTTCCTTTATTTATTTATTTTTAAATAAGCCTTCTACAGTGCAGCGAATCTTTGAGCAGCACAATAACGTATTGCGCAATATACTTGAAATTTATATTTTTCCCACTGACAAGCAAATGTAAACATATTTGTTTTAGAATGAGCAAATAAAGAAAATATTTGACTTCAACTGCTTTGGTTTTTGATGATTAGATTGCTGACTGTATGCTGGGAAGCCGTGAGAAAGGGGATTTTATGTGAAGGCAACCTTTGTATCGCCTGTTTTTTAAGCAGAGATGTTGAAGATACAAGATTATCTCAGTGATGTCACAAGCAGAAATCTTCTCACATCGCACCACGTTTCTAGCTCAAGTTTAGGTAGGGCTGTCAGGACAGACTGTTTCAAATAGTCAAAATAAAAAGTGCAAGTGTCCATTCAGAGTAACGTGAGGGATGCAGTGACAAGGACACAGCTGCTGATCAGACGACAGTTCTAAAATTTCCACAGACTTTATTTGAGGCAATAACCATTCTTCGGATGGCATGTTGTTTTACTGGAGAGGAGCAGCAGCTCGCCTACCCTGCATCAGTTTTCTCGATTTTTCCATCAGTCGCCCTGTCTTACGTTATGTTCTGCTGTGGCGACAAAGAGCCTGCAAAAACTAACATTAAGCAACAGCACTTGGTCTGAGTCTCAGCAATAAGCAACATGTCCAGTGTACTGAATACCGATAAAGAAATTGACCTCATACTAAATGAGATCTTAGGAAACGTAAACTATGGCGCAACCTGAGTGCCTCAAACCACAAGATGAAACCATGAAGATCTGTTTTACTGACATTTGCACTGTTTGTTCTGGTTCTTCAGCCTTGTGTCTCCCCTCAAAGTGTTTGTGCACTGACCACAAACTGTCCATCCCTCATTAGCAGCATCTTGTCTTGTGTCTTTGATATCTGATGGATTTGGTTTTAGATGTATCTCGTGCATGTGTGTGTGCATTTGTGTGTCTGTACACAATGTTCCTTCTATTCACAGTTCCCCCGCTGGCAAAGCCTGTCGGTGTTCACCAATCTGAGACCCCCTCACGTACAGCCCAGTTTCAATTTTTAAACCAAAACAAGGTGATTTAAACAAGTCAAACAGAACCTATATTTACAATTAGATTAACATATGATTTAAATAGGGTAAAACAAGTAGGTGAATGCAGACATATATTAGCATCATTTCAAGTAAAAGTTGTGTGTTCTATCAATTTGACCCTTTTAGCTTTTGCTTTTTCTTTATGATAAATATCCAACTATATCTAACAATGTAAAGAGGAACATTGCACAAGCAGTGACAGCACAGAGATGATGGCATGTAGACTACATGTACAGCTACTTTGCAGAGGAATACAGGAACAGAGCACATTAAGACAAAGACACACACACTTCAGCCTATCTGTACGTTCTGCCTCATATCCGTAGTCTGCTGATTAATATGTGAACGTGTGAGTACACAATGTGCATGGCAAACAGACATCCTGAACCAAAGCACTGTTTGACATACGGGATTTTTCCCTTTCACCCAACAACCCTTTGCAGAGTTTAAAAAGCGACAGGAGTTGACTTTTTGAAAATGCTGGCAAAAATAGATTTGACGCGAAATTTGACACTGCAAACCTTAAAAATAGATTTTTTTTGTTAAAAGGTAACAGAGAACCCCCCTTTTTTATAAAACAATATATCGTAAATTTCAGTGCTTTTAAAAAACAACAACAACCAGTTTATCTATATTCCGTATCTACCTTGAGGCAGTTTGATTGATCTCTGGGATGTCGCCTCAGCCTCTGTTTTACAAGGCCACCTCTGCTTGAGCCTCAAATCAAACTACCCGTGCGGGGACGCCCGTGTATTTGAAGTTATTCAAGGGGCCACCATCATATCCTGTAATGTTTAAGTGCTCCAAAATAAATGCTCGAGCGCCAGAGTTGCTGGTGTAATTCTCAGAAACAGTTACACAACCTGTAATTTATGTAGGTACACCTAGGCTTCCACGTAGTCTAGATATAAACTGTTATCCTCATCCTTCCCTTCCACAGGGACCCACAGCTAAGTGCCACATTTACACACACACACACTTTCACCTATTAACCCCCACCACCCCCCACAAACACGCGCGCGCGCGCACAGTGCCTTATCAGCCTTTATTTTGTGTGTGTGTGTGTGTGTGTGTGTGTGTGTGTGTGTGTGTGTGTGTGTGTGTGTGTGTGTGTGTGTGTGTATTTAAAAAGCAGTCTTTAAATACAATGAAGGCTAAACCTTCACGATGTATCACAAGTGTCAGTTTAACTCAGCCAGGCATGAATATGCCTTAATTAGCTCCTTAATTAAGTCCGTCAGCAGCAGAATAAAGAGGAGTAAATTAAATCACTTACATGTTCTTGTGATCCGATAATAATAATTTCTTCAGCGAGTCGGTCGGTAAATTGGAAAAGCGCGTCTCTTTCACCTAATTCAAGCCCGCCCTTCTCATCTCATATCCATGGTACTAAATGTTCTGCCCATGTGGTTATTAAGCAGCGCTCTTTCAGTCTAGTTATCCCTCCTTCCCGCTCTCTTTTTTTTAATCTCCGTCTTTGCCGGTGACGATAAACCTGCCGGTGTAGTAGTAGCCACATGGAGCTCAGACTTCAAAATGACACCGGGGAGGTAGTGAGGCAGAGAAGCACACAGAGAAAGAAAAGAGAGAGAAAGAGAGGGGGGGGGGGGTCGAAACGAGTAGAGTTGTGGGAGGACGTTTAGAGTAAAATTAAGGGCAGGTCTTGGAAAGCAGCCACAAAGTAACACAATGTTCCGGCTGTACTGTAGCTGTACCGCTGCCGCTGCTGATGAGAACACTGTGTTCCAATAGACACCCTGACCTGTAACCCGTTCCGTGCCGAGACAGCCAGGCCGGGAACAGCCTGTACCGCAGCAGGCTGTCCTCCCCGCTCAGCTGACGACACGTATCGTCAACAGTACTGTGTAACAGCCCGCCTGCAGACACAGATGAGGATGTGTAATCACCGAAGTAAAAGCACACCTCACTGCCCGATAAGACGCGCGGTGATACGGATTAGCGCACTGTTTCTGTAGACTTACAAAGAAAAGAGGGGGGGGGAGTAGCATATTTACTTATCGGAGACTTTTATGGCTTAAAGGACAGTTTACTGTCACTTATTTCAGGGTAAGGACTTCTACAAAAGCGCATGCATGTTTTTTTTCTACTATTGTTTCTTTTATTAATTCCTGGTGGTATTTTTCCATGTTGGCATTTTTACTGGGCGGAGATAATTTGTCATCTTTTCCCAAACAGTCTGTGTTTACATTATTGTGGTGTTTACGGCTTTGCAACAAAGTATGAAGATCTTTTACTAGTTGGAAAAAAATACCACTCAATCAAGTTAGATATAAAAATCAAACTCCTCATGTTACATACTAATTCTCTATTCTCACTACGTGGTGTAAGCTATTGTTTTACCAACTTTGCAAGTAAAACCTTGGCGACAGCTGTTTTGCTGTCAAACCAGTAACAGTGAAAAGTCCTGCCAGTGTGTTAGGCGTCCATTTAAATGTATAAACACGGTTCAGGTGGTGCTGTGTGTGATTCTAGTATTATGGTATTCTAGTGATGCGCATCATATTCTATTAACTCTTGTTTTGCAAGTCAAATTTTGGGAACTATACGTTCCTATAAATTATTATTATTATTATTATTATTATTATTATTATTATAAATCATTATTAAAAGTAGAAGTACTCATTGTGAGGGAACATAATGGCAGTCCCTGCCAAAGTGCTGAATGATAAATCAATGTAATAAACCAAGAACAGATGGTGAATATGCCTAATCCTGTCTCATCCTATAAATCATTATTAATCATTAACCTCCCGATACAATAGTTTTCATATTTTGTAGTGAATCAGTCAGTATTTTACTCTGATGTGGATGCTCACTAGAGAACCAGTATGTTAAACCTGTCTAAGCCATTACTGTAGTCTAATAATTGCTACTGTATCCTAGTAAATTACAAAATGAAAATTACTTACTGTAAAGTACAGTTCTTCTTAAAGTCTTCAAAGTTTAATTAAAGTAAAAACCTAAAAAAAAATACTATTGTCTAAGTGTTACTATATGTAATGAGGCACTATAAACACATTATAATTTGGCAGTTGCTTTTTAACCTGGAAATCCACATGAAAAAGAAAATAATAAATATTCAAAATTGTAAATTGTAATTTAGTTACTGAAGTCGTTTTGATTCATTATGCATTCCATATTAACAGGATTAGAAAAAAGTGTCACATCTAACACATATCTAAAGTGCTCACTGTGAAGCAAAATGTTACATAACAACTTAAAGTAGCAACCTGCTTCAGGTGAGCATGAAATGCATTGCATTTTATGAAGGATGCTTTGCAAGTCAAATTTTGTCCGGGTCAAGAAAGACCGCAGTTATCAGGGAGAGACAGTTTTCACCTGAAATATACAAGAAGTCAAAATAGTAGTGAAGTACTAAACACACACCAAAAGAGATGAACGTGAGAGACACAACACAGAGTATTTTAATATAATATTTTTAAAATATCATCAGAATGATATATATAAAAACCCAGCAGGAGTTGATTTATGTTGTAATCAAACTTTTCACAGTGGTCATGTTCTTCTCCAAAGGGCATGTGTTTGAGTATATTTTGACCATGACTCCTAAACAGCCTGTAAGGAGGCTGAAAGCTCTTGTCATGTGGAAACCCCAGATGCACACTCTGCATGCTGATGAAATCTTGTGTTCAAACAGCCTTTATCTCATTTCTAGGCTTTTTATATTGCTTTTTATATTATACATGATTAAAGCAAGTGTTTGCTTATTATCACATTCATGGTTAATATGTTTTCTCTTTCACATCTCTAGGATGAACTTATTTTTTACTGACACATTTACTTTGGGGATAAGAGAACCTAAAATCCATGGTAATAAAAGTTTTTTATGGCCTTGTTTTGTGCTTTTGCGGTTGAGGATGTTGGCATTGACATGCTTTATGGCTGCTTCTTGTGTCTATGTTTATCACATTTATTGTATTAAAAATTATAAAATATGCCTCGAATTAATGTTATGAGTGAATCATTAACGAGAACTTAACCAAAATTTGTTCATGTCAGACAGCGAGAGGAAAACTTTCCTTTATAGAACCGAGATGCTCAAAGAGCCTCGTCTCTCTAGATGATGAATCCCACCATTATAGGTGGTAAGGATACTGTCTGACCACACTGCTGGCAGACAGCAAGCTGCTATTGAGAGGGAACATGATGATCCTGTTAATTATATAGGTGACATAACACAAGTGAACCTGACTCTGCAAACGCAACAGGGATTTTGTCAGCTGGGGTGAGTAATCTTCTGAGCATCTGGTTATCGGAAGAAAGTAGCTTTCACACACATGTGTTTTAGAACATGTTATTCACATTTAAAGAAAAAAAACAGCACAGAAACAGAAAGATGTAAAAACACAACCTCACTATGTGTCACTGCCCACATGAAACCCTTAAAATAATAGTACTGATTATCTAAAATAAAACACCATGTCAGGACGGTCAACTCCTGCACGGGCAAAGGTTGGTTTGTTTGTTTTACCAAAATTCGTGAACTGTGGCGTCCTGGTTGCTTTGTCTGTCTTCTTTTCCCCTACACTGCAATGCTTAACTGGAGGTCAAAATGAACTAAACAGGCTTGGGCTGAACTGAGATGCATGAATAGATATGTATAGTGACACATGGCTTGAGATGTTGTTTTCCTTCCTGAAACATCAAGAACATCTTGTTTCTGTTCTGGTGAAAGCACCCAGGCAGGCGAGAAAAAAAAAGAAGAAGAAGACAAATGAAAATTAGATGGTCAAAGGTTACATCAATGGTCTGTGGCTGTTTTATACATGCAGTTGTAACTTATTTTTAGAACTTTGTGGCCTTCTTACTGCTACTTACCTATCACTTTGCATCGGAAAGTCGTTTAATCTTTGCTAAAACAAAACAGTAAACAGCAAATCTGATAGGTGTCTAACAGATTTTGCTAAATACTGTGTAAAGTACAAAAATCTGACTGGCAGTTGCAAGAATCCATCTGTCTGAATGAGTATCTTGGTGTAACCAGAAGCACGCGGGTGAGTTCATTCAGGGATACGGGCTGCGCAGTCATCAGGAAGTGAAACAGAACAGAATGTGCTGTACTAATCTGATTGAAAAACACTGTGCTGAGTGGATGCTTGAAAAAAGAGATGATTCATTTAAATAGCTACAAGGAGAACCCTATGGTAGCAGGGGAATACATACACGGAAAAACAAAGGCAGCTTAATGCTTCATTTGGTAAAGCAAAAGGCAAATGGGAGGGTGAGGTTAAAGAAGCACTTGCTCTCACACAAACATGCGCTCTGCAGCTACAGGCTGAGCAACATAATGCTCTTTGTTTGTGTTCTAGGCATCCGTGATACGTACAGGGGAGTAATCTCCCGAGTGATCCCTTTTATCCCTGAACTTTTGCTTTACTGTTGTGTCTGCCAAGGGCCCTGAATAAACGACTGAGAAATGGGGCAGTGAATAACAGCAGTCCTATTTTCATCATGTCAACACAAACCTTAAAAGGTTGTGTTTTATTGTCAGCATAGTTCAGTTTTGGTGTGTTTTGTGTTATGTCTGACATTTATCACTTTGTATAACTGATGAGGAAAGATTTTAACTTCTTTTTGTTTTTGAGTTAAAAGAAAAACAGGAGCTTAATGGTTTGTTTTGAGTCTCGGAGAGAATGAAACTTTTTTGAAATCATTTCAAATCAGCTGAAGACTTTTTTTAAATCAGGGCTTTCACACAGTATTTGGATGTGTTCTAAGTAAACTGCCACAGGAAATATCTGATTTAAATCCCAAAAACAGAATGCAACTGTAAAGGAGATTTTATTTTATTTTATTTCATTTTTTTATATATTAAAAATCCCAAATAGGTTTCTGCATTTCATTGAGTTTATATCAATGAACAAAGTGGTAGAAACACCTGTCAGTGTAATAAAACCAGCTGCGACATTCAAATGAATCATAACACAGAGTCAAAACTTCCCTTATTTGCTTTATGAAAGGATGTTTCATCGTAGGACTGTGAGGACAGAGTGTACTTTTAAGCTATGTGTACCTAATAAAATGGCTGCTGAGTATATCTGTTTATGCACAGGGCATCCAATAATCCAATGACAATGCTCTGTGGTCTTTTCTGCATTTTCTCACGTTCATTGAACATTTATGATCAGATTGTTGTCACTGACACAATGTCATCATAATTTGGAGTCCCACAAACCCCTCTGCTGTACATGAAGTTATTGTAAACCATTTGCCATCCACTAAATAGTTTCCCTCCTGACCTCCTTAGAGCCCAGTTCAGTAAAAAAAAAAGTTTAAAGTAGTGATACCCCCGCTCAACAAACCTGTGGTAATAAGGGTTATTATTCTTAATTATTACATAGGGTGTCGATTACTAAGAAGTTTAGTACACAGCAATTTAACCTGTCACGTCAGGCAATCATTAACCAAAAGCATGAGGTTGAAATGACTAATTGCTCAAAAACTAATTTGAATCCGATTGGCTTTAACCAGACATGTTAGACGGTTAAATCACAACACCGTTATCACAAACTGTGTCAGAATGGGATACAAATCAGGGTGTTTCGCAACAAGTTTAAATGAAACATTAATGTCTCCAATATGTGTCTAATTAAAGATTACACATATGGTTACACATAACGTTGGAGAACAAGCAAAACAGAGTTCCCTATTCATCCATCCATCGTGCAATAAATAAAGACTGAGCTGCTAATTTTTCTCTGACTGTGCCCCTTTGTGACCTGAGGTAAGCCTCATGGTCAGAGATGCATGAAGACTTCTGTTACACAATTCTTCCCCCTTTTCCACACTTCGTCTTGAATGCGCCTCTATACGGGAAGTGTACATACATTATCTACCCACCCACCTGCGTGCTTCTAAGAGGTCACATGTGTTGAGCAATAGCCCTGTCTGTTGATTTACTTGTGTTCCTATGTAACTACTAAATGGCAGGCAGCTGTTTTTGCACTGCTTTATCTTCTTAAGGTCAAACTGAGCAAACTGTGCGATTCTTGTCACAGAACATAGAAAACATCGTATCTGTACTATGACTACATTTTATGCACCACAGCAAAAACATTTGCAGTGAATTTTTATCTAGACAGTGGGCTTCATGCTTGAGTCTGTGCATTTTCTTATCATAATAGTGATTACTGCAGCCAAACGTTAAGACGTTAATCAAATTTCTCTTTAAAAATCTGAGGATAGTCAAAAGGTCAGGGTCATAGTTAAGGCCAAGGGTTTGTTAGATACTTGAAAAGGGGGGTAAATAAAGGAAGAAACAAGAATTGCTACACATATTTGAATTACTTCAAGCAAGTGTTACATCACTAAAGCATCAAGAGTTTGAAGGAAACAGTGTAAAATCCTTTTTTGTTGTAGAGCTACAACACAACTCACAAACACTAAATTAGAGTGGTGTAGAAGTGTAATGCAGCATAAAATGGAAACACTTAAGTAAAATACAAGCATTATAATATTTTTTTCTTGAGTAAATGCACTAATATGTGTTTAATGTATATGTACTCTATGTATGTATAAAAATGGCCTGTGTTCATTTATAGATATCACTGCAATTCCTCTGATAGCATTTGTGCTTTTATTTAAACATTTTTGACTAATTATTTTCAGTTTCAGTTATTTCCATTGAACACCTCTAACGTTTTTTTTCCTTTTTTCCATGAGGTGATGGGGTTTAAAATGTCACAATAATAAGAACATCTTGACATTTTATTTTTTCAAAGGTTAGCTTGACATGGCGGAAGAAAGGACGATATTTTTTCAGGCAGAAGAGCCTTACGTGTTTACACAGGGGAAATCTAGTATTGCAGTAAATATCTGAAAAAGATTACCGGCTACAGGACACAGGAACAAGAACAGATGTTAAAAAAATCTTCAACCTTGTAGCACAGATAAGGTCTGAAAAGAAAAGCACCAGTAAGAAGACAGAAGCAAGAGTATGACATCTGGCCAGTCTCCACAGTTATAACACTTTTTTTCTTAGATCATTTTAAAAAAATAAGTGTTATTGCGGTATATAGAGTACATGGTGTACATAGTTTAAATGTAAAGTTAGGCTATAGTTTTACTAGTTCAACTTGTATCCCCTTTTTTTACATGGTTGTACATTTTACTTGACCTCTATGAATAAATGAAACAATGCCCTTTACAAATAAGCTTGCTTTGAGTTTGTTTTTAACAGTGTAGATATAAATTAAAGTGGCTCGGGGCAGGGATAGGTTTACCTATAGCCAAAGTAGACTAAAAGGGATTATGAAGTTTAACTCAATGTAATAGCAGCTTTTAGAACTGAAGAAGGTTCTTGGATGAGAAGTGAAACGTCTTCACAAAACTTAAAGTCCAGTCGCTCCTTAGACTAATAGCAGCTTGGTTCACTTTATTATACCTTGATTATCCTATGAAGTAACACATATAACAGTAATATTTAAATATAATGATGTGATGATGGAAGTAAAGGCGCTTTTTAAAAAATTCAGTCATGTAAAATGTTCTAAACTTTCTCTGGTTACATTTTTCTGTTATAAAAGTGGGGTGAAGATCTCACATGTTTGCTAGTTTAATGTGTTGTGGCAGACATTCCACTTTGGTACAGTAGGTGGCAGTATAGACATTTATCGGTGTTTTAATGGCGTTTTACACACGCAGAAGAAGAGTGGGCTTTTTCTTTTTTCCCCCTCGCTCTTCCGCTTTACTCGAGGCGCTAATAAGCTAACAGGCTAGGCCTGCTGCTCAAACGAGCGGCGTGAAATCTTCTGCAAGCGGTTTTTTGTTGAGTTTTAGCTGTAAAAAGGTGAGTTATATTCCATACAGGAAGGTAGGTTCGGTCTTCCACACGTTTCTCGTGTGAATTCAGCTAGGATGCCGATTCGCATCGCGACGAATTCTTTTGTAAATCGTTTCGCGGTAATAAATGCTAAATTTGCTAGCGTAACGTTAATCCTCGCATGGTTGGTTTTGGAGGGTGGTGGAAAACTTTGCTGCATTATCGTTCGGATGAAAAGTTGGACTCAAAAGTAATTTGTAATATTCTTAAGAAATGTCTTTTTAGAGTAACTAAAATCCAATTTTAATGTTACCCGTCAACAATCAAGCTAAAGCGAACTATTTTTGGTGCTGTTAGCCTGGAAATGTATAGCCAGTGTTAAGGCTCAGGAGTCTGCTAATAGAAGCCACCCCATTTTCTAGCTTATTGTTGTATTATATATTATATACCTCTGACCAATTAACCAACATAGTTTTATTCACCATTCATCCGAAAAGCACCAAAGAAGCACTAAAGAGACCGCCCCACCCCCAAAAAGAAACACGTTGGCTTTGGATTTTTTTTTTTTAAGTGTGCGGTTGTTAAATATTTAAAAATCCTGTGTAGGTACTGCAGTTATAAGCAACCCAGTCATGTATAAACCTGAATGAGACTCTTTGTTAGAAAAGGCTTTGCAGTGCTGCAAAGTGAATGCAAATATAACAATTCACTGATACCAGCTTTAAATGGGGCCATAGATTAACTGTTCTCAGAGCTGTTTGACTGTAACTGTTTCTTGTAATTTTGTTTTGTTTTTTTCTTTTCAGGGATAACAGAGTCTTGGACTTAAACAAGAATAAATTTGAAATGGGAGGTATGACAACTCAGACAGTTAGTCGTGTAGCTTTTCTTGCTTTGTTTTGCAGTAGGGAGGTGCCCTGGTGTCCCATGAAACAACACAGAACATGCTAAGTGACTTTAAAAGAATTACAGTATTTGTGAACTTAAGGGGTGTGTCCAAAGACCAAAGTATTTTTTTCCTGAGGCCAGCGTAGTTCCTAAGAGCAATATTCTTGGAATTGCTTGGAATAGGAGTGGCATGTATTGATGGTATTGTTAAAACGCCAGCAGCAATGGGGCGCTGAGCATCTCTCCCAAGCTTTGTGATTGGGTTGTTTTACTGGTTGCCAGGCCTTAAGATCTTGAACTTTTGATAGAAAGCTGTGCTTGTCACTTTTTACCCCATCAAGCAGAACTGGGACAAATGCCATGCAGACAGGCTTTCCCATTGCACACATGCTGACAACCATCTGAGCAACAATGGATGAGAAGTGAATGTTGCTTCTCTGAGTATCCATGTCTACCACAATATTGATGTTAAATATAAAGGTCTAGAAGAACAGTTCGTTCACCAGGTCAGTAGCAGTCAGGTAAAGTAGATGTTATGTATCATAGCAACCAAATTGTCTGTGCTGAAAATGTGCGGTGACTTCTAAGTGCTCTCAAGTATTCTCAGCTGGACATTTTCAGAGGATGGCCTAGCATTATCGTCAGGCAAAAAGTACTTTGCTGGACACAGCCCCTAATTCAAACACTGCAAAGCTAACAGATGGTGACTCCAATGAATGAGTTTGTCAATAAAAAATTATATTCTCTAAATATGTGCACATTACACAAGAAGTTAAAGAAGACAAAACCATTTACTGAATTACCACAACCACTGTTTGTTCTGTGTCATGGTGGACTCATGCTGTCTCGTCAAAAAATTTTTCACACTCTAGTTACATGTGGCTCCATCACTATCATGATAGTAGTACTCAAAGCACTTTAAGCTCTTTCTGTGGACAGTCTAAGATGCAGGGCGGTAGACTGAGCTTTCACCCCAGCTTTTATTATTTATTTATTTATTTATTTGCTTGATTGTTTTTTCAAGAAAAAGAAGTTGAAAATTGGTGAAATAAAATTAAACAAGGAATGGCATTAGTTGACTTTATTTTACATGGTTGGCTGCAGAAATAAGTCTTTTAAAGTAAGGCTATGTACAGTAGATCAGAAAACTTTGAGGCTGGAAGGGCTTTGGATTAGTCAACATAGAAAAATAAAATATTTTAATGCAGGTTAACATAATTTACATTTAATTTGCACATTTTGATGAATGATACGTAATTTGTTCTACTTCATCGTTTGATGGGTGTTTGTGTTTCTGTCACTTTTAAGACCCTGCTTTTCATCGAGACTGTCCCCTCGACTGCAAGGTTTATGTCGGGAATCTGGGAAACAATGGAAATAAGACGGAGTTAGAAAGAGCGTTTGGTTACTATGGTCCTCTAAGAAGTGTTTGGGTTGCCAGGAATCCCCCAGGTTTTGCTTTTGTAGAGTTTGAAGATCCCAGAGATGCCTCAGATGCTGTGAGAGAATTGGATGGCAGGTAACTCCTTCAACATGCTACACTTATTAGTAGTTGTGTTTGATTTTTGCATTGCTTTCTGCTCATTTGTTGACTTCTGTTCAGAACCATGTGTGGCTGTCGAGTACGCGTTGAGTTATCCACTGGAGAAAAACGCTCCAGGAGCCGTGGCCCTCCTCCATCCTGGAGCCGATACCCTCGAGATGATTTTAGGCGACGCAGTCCTCCTGTTAGACGCAGGTATGCATTTCCTACTTGACAGTTATTTTACTGTTTTATTTATCTGTAGACATTTTTTTTCAAACAAAATTCTCACTTGCAGTGTTCAATAAGAGTACAAATGACAAAGCACACGTTCATTAAATACACACTTATTTTTCAGCTTCTGATTTTGGCAAAACAGTTTTAGATCGACTAAATGGCCAAATATATTAGCAAAAATCTAGTTTCTTACCATCTATTTTTAGTTTTGTCATAGTCTAAACTGAAACTAAGCAAGGAATCAAGTTTCTGACAGCTTGAAACAAATTGTTTGCACACTTGCATTCAAGCGTTCTTGCCTTTTTTATTTCTTTAAAAATTAAAAAAAAAAAATCTGTGGCTGTATTCACAAAGTGTCATACTTTCTTTTTAAAGCAAACTAAAAGTGCCAGACTAAAGCAAAGAGGGGGGAAAAAACATTTACATAGTAGGCACTCATTTCATTACAGTTTTCGCTCATAAACTGGAGATCTCAACTATTCTTTGGACATGTGATTGTGCTGTTGTGAGTACAGTCGGGTAATGCCTGGTGAATTCGCATTCAACAAGTCCTGTCCTGCCAGCTTTCTCACCAAAATTAAGTACATTATTTTCAGGCTCTATAAGACAGAGCTCTGGAGTTTCTAACCCGTCTCCCCCAACTCAGCAAGTGATGAGTGTTTTGTTTAGTTTTTTCATTTTTCGTTTTCATGTTTCTACTAATTGGCCACTTGAGAGCTACATTCAAGCTTTTCGATATTTTGTGAATACGGCCCCTGATCCCACGAAGATTGAAGTAATAATTTTGATACAATTTTTTTTTTCATTGTTTTATCATTTCAAGGGTATATTAGTGGCAGGTTATGTAAACGGTTAAATCTTTTATTAAAATATAACTGTTGAAACAACAAGCTCTGCCAGAGTGATATTATTTTACAAAGACATCTTCAGAAGCATAGTTAGCCCTTCATCTCCCATCAAATATTTTTACACTTACATTCTGCAGGTGTAAATTTTATTTATATTTTTTTTCTGAGTTCAGTTGCCATCTATTAATAAAACTGAACCCCGTTTCAGAGTCACCACCACGCTTCTCACCATCTGAGTCAATCAACTAGTCTTCTTTCAGCATCATGTGACTGCTGACCAGTGAGCCCAAATCAGCTTGGCTGGTGTTGTCACATGACCCAGGCGCACCGCCAGTCGTCAGGTTCCACCAAGCTTTTGGTTCCTGAGCATGCAGTTCCCAGCATCCTCCTCCTTCCTCCAACCTTTACCCAATCGACAGCGGTCCACTTCACATTATCAGCCAATCAGCGTCTTTACTCTTTCTATTCTCCAAACATCTACTGTATCAGCGGGGACAGCCCTTGGCTTACATCCCTTCCCATCCCCCACCCCCCCAAAAAAGGCAGGGAAAATCTACAACTACCCCCCTCGAACCAGCCACCAGGCAACTTCATATCTCCAACATTTGCATCTTGTGGCAAATCTTCTCTGCAATTCGACCTCCCTCACCATCAGTCTGGCTTCCTTGCGTCATTTCTATCTTGTCCAATTCCCCCAAAAATAGTAAGTTTCTTTTATCCTGCTCTTTGTAGTTTTAATGCTTAATCTAGCTTTCATAGCTGCTTGACAGTTTTCTTCAGCAGTTATGTAATTTGGAGAAAATTCAGTGCAGTGCTGCAAAAACCGGTCAAGGAATTTTGACCACCATTCTTTAATTTCCATTTCAAAAATGAACTACATTTATCTGGTGTTCATTGTAATTGTTCTACTGAGTGCATTTTCAGGGCTCGACATTAAGCTATCTTGAGTGATAACCACAGGAAGTAAACTTTTTTTCTTTGCAGTTTTAATTTGTTTTTTGTTTTTTTTTGTTTCTTTGGGGGGTTTTTTTCTTTGTTTGTTTGGGGGGGGTTTTCGGTTTAAAGACCCTTTTACTTGTAGGTTACCCTATTTTTCGTTGCTTTAGGATGTGTCCCACATCAAAGTTTCTTTTAACAAAAAACAAAAATAATCAGTCTTTCCTGTGTTGCTGCTAAAGGAGGTATTTTACTTTTTGGGGAACATTGTGCACAAGGAGGATCACAGTAGATCGGTGATTGAAGAATGTTTTTATGCTTGGTTTAAAAAAAAAAAAAAAGAAAGGAAAAAAGCTGTCACATAATTTGTTTGGTCTTTCTCTCAGACAAGCCTTAATGCCGAGCCTTGATTTTGTTTTACATTCTGATATCTTGCTCCATGATTTGTGTTCATTGGACAAAGTTTCCTTATAAACATTTGACCAGTTCATGGATACAGATGATCATTCTGTTAACAGTCCAGGAAGTACGTGTAACCACGTTTCCACATGTAACCCATGTTTCTGTAGGGATCAAGAAAAACTAATTTCAAAGGTTGTATTAGAGATGGGAAATGTTAAATATGCTCTCTTAATATTTCTAAAAAAATGTTTTCTTCTTAATTTTCTTTTTAACTCCTCCCCCCTCCCCTACATTGTAGATCGCCAAGGAGACGGAGCCTCAGCCGCAGCCGCAGCAGGTAGCCATGTCACCTTTTGTTTTTTGTTTGTTTTTGGTTTTTTTGGTTTTTGGTTTTGTTTTTTTTTTGCGCCACACATTTGTCTATGGCAAATGATAAAAATCATTAAAAACATTTTTTCAGGTCTGTTTCAAGAGATAGACGCAGATATCGGTCTGCTTCCAGAGAGAAGAACCGTAAGCGCTCAAGATCCTTCTCGCGATCGAGGAGGTAAATCAAAATAACTTTTATATTTATTGTTCTTGAACTTCAAACTTAATATTAAGCTAACAATTTTTTTTCCCCATCAATTTTGCATTTATTCACTGGTTGGTTTGTTTTACAGTCGTTCCCGGTCTAATGAGAGGAAATGAAGATCTTGGAAAGCTCATCTACCGGCTTATGCTATGGTTACAAAAAAGTACATTTTTATAGTCTTTTCTTTTTAGATTTTGTTGGGTAGCTCATGGCAATTTAAGGTTGGCCATGTTTGGGTCTTAATGGTCTGTTGAATGATCAAGAAAGGTGTAAACTGTTTGTTTTTTGTTTTTTTTTGGGTTTTTTTTGTTAAATTCTGTCTTGCCCTGCATGCTTTGAAAATGAGTACTTGGTTTTACTTTTCTTTTTAAAACTGTTTAAAGTCATCATTTCATTTTCTTTCCTTTTTTTGGTTTGGTTATTTATTTTACTATTCTTGCTCGGTTACTGTGACATGGTATAGAGGGAGTGGTGTGGGTTTTTTTTTTTTTTTTTTTTGGTTTTTTTTTTTCTCTCATACCAGTAACAGAAAAGAAGACTCTTAACAAATGCTGTAAATATGGTGCTGTTATTGTAGTCTAGCCCTAAAACATGATCATCTGTAATTAATTTTTTTTAAATGCCTCCCTTTGCGAAAGAAAGCATTGACTAGATTCTTTTTTTTTCCTCTTTTTTTTTTTTTTTTTTTTTTTTTTTTTTTTTTTTTTTTGTTTGAATGTCTGAGCTCCAACAACATGTACTGATACAGTTTAACATCTTGTTCAATAAATGTTTTTCCAAGGTGAGTTTTCTGTAACATTTGCTTTGTTTTCATAGTTGCATACACTAGAACTAAAAAGGCAAATGCTGAAAATGAACCCGTTTTAAATTCAGGAAGTACTATAGTTTGCTGCAAATGTAGCCCACACAGGAAGCTTGACACAGTTGCCATTGAAACACACCCCCATGTGTGAAATGTAACTCCTATTGAACAGAGGCATGACTTGACATAACACAGCAGCTCATGCTGTGACACGAGGAGTTGCCAGATTTCGGTGGTAAGTACACGTGGTGTTATAAGTTTTGTTTTTTGTTTTGTTTTTGTTTTTTTTGTAGAAGACATTTAGCTAAATTTACGCAACTCATCAATCTTATGTTTAGGTAAATGAAATAGTTGCAGTTTAGTTAACGGCAGCGTTTTCACTTGCTTGCCTAACATTTGGTGTTAACACATTTGGTGCACATGTTAATGTATATTGGTGTCTCGCATTGTTTTGAATATTTTTTATTTTTTTTTATATTCAGTCAACTACTTTTAGTGTTCTGTTCTAAATTTGTATGCTGTAGATTGCAACTGGATTTGCAAATACATTACATGACTGAATATTTCATGTTTAGGAGAAAGGATTTCAAGTCATGTCTTCGCAAAATGCAAAGAAAAAGCGACTTGGGTCACGACGAGTGGCACAAAGCCAAAATGAAGTACCTAAGGCTGATGAGTACCAATTAACAGAAGCTTCCTCTGTGGCACAAGGCTACGCAGCAGACGAAAGTACTGAATCTTTAAATGTTTTATCCAGCCGAGAGGATTCTAAACCAGAAACTCGACATCCACCTTCAGCAGAGGTCAAGTTTAACCGGAGAAAAATTGGGTCTAATCGGCGCAGTAAAGGAAAGCAGTTGGTAAATGATTTAGAAACTGAACCTTACCGCAACCCTGGAAAGGAACTTGAGGAAAAAAGCAGGGGTAATGAAACCTTTGAAACAATACAAACGCCACGGGCAGTGGAACTTAAGCAGCAGGAAGAATTCGGTCAAGGAAGTGATCATGTGTCTGCACTAGCTAAGGACTGTTCAGAAAGTACACATGATAAAAATTCTGAGGGTGAAATGGAAATGTTAACTCCTGAAATCAATAATCTGCAAGAGTGCAACCCTTGTAGAAATGAAATCAAGCTTGAAGAGATTGACAAATCTGACATGCAAAGTGAAGAAATCAAAGAAAACATGCATCCTGTGGCTCAACAGTCATCCAGTGACGTGCCAGATGAGGAGCCTTCAACTGCGTATTCTGTAGCAGAAATACAAAGTACAGAAAGCGATGACAAGAAGATGCTCAGGCAGGATGGAAGGTTACAGGGTAACAACTTGGTAAATGAGTCACATGTAGAATTTGAAGCTTTAGAGGCAGTCACACCAAACATAACCACAGATAAAAACAGCCCGGAACAAAATATTGAAGTCGTGTGCAGTGCTGAGCAGGAAACATTTTCATCATCAAAAGAGAAGTTGACTGCAAATGAGGATCCTTGTAGCTTATCTGAAGTTAGAGAAGCATGGCAATCAGAAAGTGCTATGAATAAAATACATGAAGTGAACATTAAGCCCATAGAAATACAGGACATGTACCAAAATCAGTACTCCTTTAAAATTCAGGGTATTGATATCACGGAAAATGCTGTTACTTACTCTGAAAAACCAGAAGACCAAACTGAGATGGATACTCACTCATCTGACATGAAAGTAAAAAACAATATATTTCACACAGAGCAGGAACATCTTAATGAAAAACAATATGCATATCCTACAAATAACAGACATCCGGAGAGCTTACAGGACGAAAATGAGGATATTCAGATGTATGATTCCAAGCAACAAGTGATCACTGACATAGCAGTTAGTCAGTTGGTAGCCACTGAAATCAGCAATGCTATCAAGTCTGTTGATGATTCTGTGTCAAATAATTACAAACAAAGTGAGCATCAAAGAAAAGAAGGACATTTAGAAACTCTAAATGAGGAGAATGAGGACAGTGATGTTGATATGAGAAATGGTTCAGTACAAACTATACCATCTGAAGTAAATACTCTTTTGGAATCCCAACTTGAAAGCAATAATGTGACTTCAAGTGAGCAAACCCATACTGTCTATGACTCCATTGGGAAAAGAAGAAAAATGGGATCCACTCGAAGGAGTAAAGGAAGACAGTTGACAATTGGTGATGAAACCCCTGAAACAACAGAAATGTCAGCAACAGAGGCTACAAGACCTGAAGAATTACTGCAAAGAAACGAGCATGTTTCTGTGTCTGTGCCACATGACAGCTCCATTTTTACAGTGTCTACACCTGCTTATTTTCCTGAGGTCCAGAAACCAACAGCAACAAGCCATCTTGAGATTAGCTTGAACAGTTTAATTCCTCAAAGTGAAAACCTTCACGAAAATCAAGATGAGCAAGATTTTAAAGTGGTTTCAGATAAACCATTGGAATCTGGGATGGAAGAAGTGGATGAATCTGAAACTGCTCTGCGTGAAGAGGTCAAAGATGCCAATCACTCAGATGAAACTGTCAGGAAAATGCATGAAGATGAGGTTGAAAGAACAGAAATTCAAGAAGTGCTGCAGAATGATTTCTCATCTGAAAATGTGATTGATGATGCCACAGAAAACTCTTCCTTTACTTCTGGAGACTTAGGCCAAACTGAAAATAGCAACACTTACCAGTTTCAAGTGATGGTGCAGAGTCCTGATGAATCTGTAACCAAAGTGGAAGTTTCAACTCCTGATGACAAACAACCTGAACAGCACTTTGTGACTCAAGAAAACGAGGAAGGTGACATTTCAGACGGAAAAGGTGGTGGAGTCTCTCCACAATCTCCAACCTCATTAACAACTCCACCTTTTGAGTCCCAACTTCAGGACAATACTGTGAGCACAGATAAGCAATCGCATGCGGTCACCGAATCCAGGGGAAATAGAAGAAAAATGGGATCCACTCGTAGAAATAAAGGAAGACAGCGTGATAAGGAATTTAAAGATGAAGATGCAATTGGTGATGAAACCCCTGAAACAACAGAAATGTCAGCAACAGAGGCTACAAGACCTGAAGAATTACTGCATTTAATTTCTGAAAGTGAAAACCTTAAGGAAGATAAAAATCAGACAACCTTTAATGTGATTTCAGATAAACCATTGGAATCTGTGATGGAAGAAGTGGTTAAATCTGAAACTGCTCTCACTGAAGAAGTCAAAGATCCTCATCACCCTGATGGCAACCAAGCTAAACAGCACTTTGTGACTCAGGAAATCAAGGGAGGTGATGTTCCAGATACTAAAGACAGTGGAGTCCCTCTACAAGCTGAACTCTCATTAGCAACTCCACCTTTTGAGTCCCAACTTCAAGAGAATACTGTGAGCACAGATAAGCAATCCCATGCGGTCACCGAATCCAGGGGGAATAGAAGAAAAATGGGATCCACTCGTAGAAATAAAGGAAGACAGCGTGATAAGGAATTTAAAGATGAAGATGCAATTGGTGATGAAACCCCTGAAACAACAGAAATGTCAGAAACAGAGGCTACAAGACCTGAAGAATTACTGCAAAGAAACGATCATGACGTTTCTCTGTCTGTGCCACATGACAGCTCCATTTTTACAGTGTCTACACCTGCTTATTTTCCTGAGGTCCAGAACCCAACAGCAACAAGCCATCCTGAGATTAGCTTGAACAGTTTAATTCCTCAAAGTGAAAACCTTCACGAAAATCAAGATGAGCAAGATTTTAAAGTGGTTTCAGATAAACCATTGGAATCTGGGATGGAAGAAGTGGATGAATCTGAAACTGCTCTGCGTGAAGAGGTCAAAGATGCCATTTACTCAGATGAAACTGTCAGGAAAATGCATGAAGATGAGGTTGAAAGAACAGAAATTCAAGAAGTGCTGCAGAATGATTTCTCATCTGAAAATGTGATTGATGATGCCACAGAAAACTCTTCCTTTACTTCTGGAGACTTAGGCCAAACTGAAAATAGCAACACTTACCAGTTTCAAGTGATGGTGCAGAGTCCTGATGAATCTGTAACCAAAGTGGAAGTTTCAACTCCTGATGACAAACAACCTGAACAGCACTTTGTGACTCAAGAAAACGAGGAAGGTGACATTTCAGACAGCAAAAGTGGTGGAGTCTCCCCACAATCTCCAACCTCATTAGCAACTCCACCTTTTGAGTCCCAACTTCAGGACAATACTGTCAGCACAGATAAGCAATCTCGTGCGGTCACAGATTCCAGGGGAAACAGAAGAAAAATGGGATCCACTCGTAGAAATAAAGGAAGACAGCGTGATAAGGAATTTAAAGATGAAGATGCAATTGGTGATGAAACCCCTGAAACAACAGAAATGTCAGAAACAGAGGCTACAAGACCTGGAGAATTACTGCATTTAATTCCTCAAAGTGAAAACCTTCACGAAAATCAAGATGAGCAAGATTTTAAAGTGGTTTCAGATAAACCATTGGAATCTGGGATGGAAGAAGTGGATGAATCTGAAACTGCTCTGCGTGAAGAGATCAAAGATGCCAATCACTCAGATGAAACTGTCAGGAAAATGCATGAAGATGAGGTTGAAAGAACAGAAATTCAAGAAGTGCTGCAGAATGATTTCTCATCTGAAAATGTGATTGATGATGCCACAGAAAACTCTTCCTTTACTTCTGGAGACTTAGGCCAAACTGAAAATAGCAACACTTACCAGTTTCAAGTGATGGTGCAGAGTCCTGATGAATCTGTAACCAAAGTGGAAGTTTCAACTCCTGATGACAAACAACCTGAGCAGCACTTTGTGACTCAAGAAAACGAGGAAGGTGACATTTCAGACAGCAAAAGTGGTGGAGTCTCCCCACAATCTCCAACCTCATTAGCAACTTCACCTTTTGAGTCCCAACTTCAGGACAATACTGTGAGCACAGATAAGCAATCCCATGCGGTCACCGAATCCAGGGGGAATAGAAGAAAAATGGGATCCACTCGTAGAAATAAAGGAAGACAGCGTGATAAGGAATTTAAAGATGAAGATGCAATTGGTGATGAAACCCCTGAAACAACAGAAATGTCAGAAACAGAGGCTACAAGACCTGAAGAATTACTGCAAAGAAACGATCATAACGTTTCTCTGTCTGTGCCACATGACAGCTCCATTTTTACAGTGTCTACACCTGCTTATTTTCCTGAGGTCCAGAACCCAACAGCAACAAGCCATCCTGAGATTAGCTTGAACAGTTTAATTCCTCAAAGTGAAAACCTTCACGAAAATCAAGATGAGCAAGATTTTAAAGTGGTTTCAGATAAACCATTGGAATCTGGGATGGAAGAAGTGGATGAATTTGAAACTGCTCTGCGTGAAGAGGTCAAAGATGCCAATCACTCAGATGAAACTGTCAGGAAAATGCATGAAGATGAGGTTGAAAGAACAGAAATTCAAGAAGTGCTGCAGAATGATTTCTCATCTGAAAATGTGATTGATGATGCCACAGAAAACTCTTCCTTTACTTCTGGAGACTTAGGCCAAACTGAAAATAGCAACACTTACCAGTTTCAAGTGATGGTGCAGAGTCCTGATGAATCTGTAACCAAAGTGGAAGTTTCAACTCCTGATGACAAACAACCTGAACAGCACTTTGTGACTCAAGAAAACGAGGAAGGTGACATTTCAGACAGCAAAAGTGGTGGAGTCTCTCCACAATCTCCAACCTCATTAGCAACTCCACCTTTTGAGTCCCAACTTCAGGACAATACTGTGAGCACAGATAAGCAATCTCATGCGGTCACAGATTCCAGGGGAAACAGAAGAAAAATGGGATCCACTCGTAGAAATAAAGGAAGACAGCGTGATAAGGAATTTAAAGATGAAGATGCAATTGGTGATGAAACCCCTGAAACAACAGAAATGTCAGAAACAGAGGCTACAAGGCCTGAAGAATTACTGCATTTAATTCCTCAAAGTGAAAACCTTCACGAAAATCAAGATGAGCAAGATTTTAAAGTGGTTTCAGATAAACCATTGGAATCTGGGATGGAAGAAGTGGATGAATCTGAAACTGCTCTGCGTGAAGAGGTCAAAGATGCCAATCACTCAGATGAAACTGTCAGGAAAATGCATGAAGATGAGGTTGAAAGAACAGAAATTCAAGAAGTGCTGCAGAATGATTTCTCATCTGAAAATGTGATTGATTATGCCACAGAAAACTCTTCCTTTACTTCTGGAGACTTAGGCCAAACTGAAAATAGCAACACTTACCAGTTTCAAGTGATGGTGCAGAGTCCTGATGAATCTGTAACCAAAGTGGAAGTTTCAACTCCTGATGACAAACAACCTGAACAGCACTTTGTGACTCAAGAAAACGAGGAAGGTGACATTTCAGACAGCAAAAGTGGTGGAGTCTCCCCACAATCTCCAACCTCATTAGCAACTCCACCTTTTGAGTCCCAACTTCAGGACAATACTGTCAGCACAGATAAGCAATCTCATGCGGTCACAGATTCCAGGGGAAACAGAAGAAAAATGGGATCCACTCGTAGAAATAAAGGAAGACAGCATGATAAGGAATTTAAAGATGAAGATGCAATTGGTGATGAAACCCCTGAAACAACAGAAATGTCAGAAACAGAGGCTACAAGACCTGAAGAATTACTGCATTTAATTCCTCAAAGTGAAAACCTTCACGAAAATCAAGATGAGCAAGATTTTAAAGTGGTTTCAGATAAACCATTGGAATCTGGGATGGAAGAAGTGGATGAATCTGAAACTGCTCTGCGTGAAGAGGTCAAAGATGCCATTTACTCAGATGAAACTGTCAGGAAAATGCATGAAGATGAGGTTGAAAGAACAGAAATTCAAGAAGTGCTGCAGAATGATTTCTCATCTGAAAATGTGATTGATGATGCCACAGAAAACTCTTCCTTTACTTCTGGAGACTTAGGCCAAACTGAAAATAGCAACACTTACCAGTTTCAAGTGATGGTGCAGAGTCCTGATGAATCTGTAACCAAAGTGGAAGTTTCAACTCCTGATGACAAACAACCTGAACAGCACTTTGTGACTCAAGAAAACGAGGAAGGTGACATTTCAGACAGCAAAGGTGGTGGAGTCTCTCCACAATCTCCAACCTCATTAGCAACTCCACCTTTTGAGTCCCAACTTCAGGACAATACTGTGAGCACAGATAAGCAATCCCATGCGGTCACCGAATCCAGGGGGAATAGAAGAAAAATGGGATCCACTCGTAGAATAAAAGGAAGACAGCGTGATAAGGAATTTAAAGATGAAGATGCAATTGGTGATGAAACCCCTGAAACAACAGAAATGTCAGCAACAGAGGCTACAAGACCTGAAGAATTACTGCAAAGAAACGAGCGTGACGTTTGTCTGTCGGTGCCACATGACACCTCCATGTTTAAAGTTTCTACACCTGCTTATTCTCCTGACATACAGAGCCCAACTGCAAAGAGTTATTCTGAGATTAGCCTGGACAGTTTAATTTCTGAAAGTGAAAACCTTAAGGAAGATAAAAATCAGACAACCTTTAATGTGATTTCAGATAAACCATTGGAATCTGTGATGGAAGAAGTGGTTAAATCTGAAACTGCTCTCACTGAAGAAGTCAAAGATCCTCATCACCCTGATGGCAACCAAGCTAAACAGCACTTTGTGACTCAGGAAATCAAGGGAGGTGATGTTCCAAATACTAAAGACAGTGGATTCCCTCTACAAACTCGACTCTCATTAACAACTCCACCTTTTGAGTCCCAACTTCAGGACAATACTGTGAGCACAGATAAGCAAACCCATACTGTCACCGAATCCAGGGGAAATAGAAGAAAAATGGGATCCACTCGCAGAATAAAAGGAAGACAGCGTGATAAGGAATTTAAAGAAGAAGATGCAATTGATGATGAAACCCCTGAAACAACAGAAATGTCAGCAACAGAGGCTACAAGACCTGAAGAATTACTGCAAGAAAACAAGCATGATGTTTCTCTGTCTGTGCCACATCATGAAAAGTCCTTTAAAAATCAAAATGACGGAGATACTAAAGTGATTAATGATAAACCAGTGCAGGCTGGGATGGAAGAAGTCAAAAAAGATCAGCACATAAAACTTTTAGGGCAGGATGGAAATTTACCCAGCAATATTTTGTTAAGTGGAACAACAGATTGTACCATTGCAGTTGAGATAACAACTGACCAAACCAGCCCAAGAGAACGCACTGAAGTTGAATGCAGTGTTGCACAAGAAACATTTTTAGCATCTCAAAATGTGTTGACTACAAATAGGGAACAACATGAGCATTGCAACCCAATTGAGGTCACCAAAGCTAAGCAGTCAGAGGGTGCATTAATGCATCAGACTGACTGCAGCGCAAGTACAGAGAGTCACCAAACATCCTTATCTGAAACAAATATCTCTTTGGACTTCCACCATCAGGATAATTCTCAGGACATTACAGAAATTCACACACGCCTCAGCCATACAGGGAATAGAAAGAAAATGGGTTCAAGCCGAAGAAATAAAGGAAGACAGGGTGTCAAGGACCCTGATGCATACCAGGAACCTAAAGATGACATTTTAGAAAAACCCACAAGTAATGACAAACTCAGAACAATTGACATGTCACCAGCAACAGATATAACAAAGGAGGAAGAAGAAAAAGACCTCATATCCATTGACAAAGAAGTGCAGATTAGCTCAACAGCAAAAGAAGGCAAAAATAAAGAAAAGTTGTCGGAGGAAGATGCATTTTTCTCACAGAATAATATGGATAGCAATACAGATGGACTTCTCAAATCTAACAAAGATTTCAATGAGGAAAATAAAGTTGTTCAAGATGCTATGAATTTAGATCAGCTTACAGGATGTGACACAATTACAAAGCACCTGATGCAATCACCACAAGCCTCAGTTTGTGAAATTCCCTCAGACATGCAGCATACCTCATATCATGCTGGCATCGAAGGCTCTAGCTCTCTGAAGGTGCTTGATAAAGAAGAAGCGTTGGAGGCAATGGATGCAAGCAACGGCCAGCAAGAACAAACTCAATCAGGTAACAGAAATACTTTCCAAATAAATCCACAACAGAAGAAGAGAAAGATAGGTTCTTCTCGCAGGAGTCAACTCAACAGAAAAAAAGAGGAAGAAACAGACAACACAGATGAAACCAAGGAAAGTGACTTTCACACCGAAGCTGACGTGAGGAATACTGACAAGTTGGACGTGGTAGAGTTACCGTTAACTACAGATATACCACAAAATGAAACTGCACAACCGTTATTCTCTGCTGTTCATAAACAACAGGAAGCTGCTGAAACCTTTTCTGTACCAAGCAGTACAGAGATCAATGTGATACCAGTAGTAGAAGATTTTAAGGCCCCTCTTCCTGAACAGTTTTCCTCTCTCCGTGAAGAAACTATCAGTCTGGTTACACGCGTTATCACAGGTGGTGTAAGAGAAGTTATTGTGGAGCCGCCACAGCTAGACAATTTTACAAACACTGAGACACAAATAACCACTGTGGTCACGGGTAGAAGCAGACGCTCCATAAATCAGCTGCTGCCCCCAAATACCGAGGCTGCCACAGACACTGGCATAGCAGAAGAGAGCTTAGTGTCTTTTGGTGAGGCCAGGCAAAATACACATAGCGATGAGGAAAGGCCAGAGAGCATAAAAGAAGTACAAGATCAAGATGCTAGTGAGAAAAATCCAAGCAACTTGAATGAAGGAGCTCATAATAAAACTCAAGAGATGAGGAGTGAAAGTCCAAATTTACATTTGAGCAACCGGAGAAGAAAGATGGGCTCCACCCGCAGGAATCTTGGATCCAGAAACAAAGAAGAGCTCCATCAAAAACAGGAGGTGGATAACGAAGCGAAGGAGACTGGAACAGACATCGGGGAAACTGAAAGTGTCTCCAGAATCAAAGAAGAAGCACTTCAGCTTCACACAGATCACAAAAACAATGATGGCGAACAAGGAAAACAGAAAGTATTTGAAACAGTGGAAATCAGCCCTCCGGGTCAGTCTAAATTCAAACCTCTGCCTGAGCAAACAGTTGAAGCGAGGCCTGTTTCCCAAGACCAGCTAGCAGAAACAGAACATCACACTGCAAATGACCTCCTGTCTACATCCTTAAAAGATGATTTTGTGTCAGAATCAGCATCTGGAGGGAGGAGAAGAAAATTGGGATCTAACCGAAAGTCCCGTGGACATCAGCGTATAGAAGACAAAACAGGAGAGGGCACAATAATAGATGATCAAAGTGGGACAGATGCCAGAATTTCAGAGGTAAGCAGCAATGTTTAGGGGGTTTTGTTTAGTTTAGTTTTTTAGTATTTAGTAGAAATCTTAATTGTTTTCAATTTTTCCAAAACCTCATGCACAGACTACATTTAAATTTGACTATTAAATGCAATACCTTATTAAACTTTGTTGTATTTATAATTCTATGCATAGTTGTGAATAGTGAATAGTTATTATTGGACAAGTGTTCTTTCACATAGGCAAGCCTACATTGTTATTTACACCCCATTTGCAGTAGACACTTTGCAAACTGGATTGTTTGTGGCAAGGTCATTGTGACACAGGGAACTAAAAAGAGGAACGTGAGGTTTACATAGCATGTTTCACATACAGCAAACGAGAACATGTGTTCACCTTCAGAAACCTGGCAGATAAGGGCTTTGAATGAGATCAGCAAATAATGGCTTTAAAGATGTCACAATAAATTATTATTATCGACAAAGAATGGGAAACCAGTATGTCAGATATTCCAGCTTCAGATATTATTAGGAGACGACTGATTACTAGATGATAACTAATCCAAGTAGAATAATTTGCACTTTCACATCATGAAATGAGTTTGTCATGCACATTTAGAAGCATAAAAAGCCCTACTTTTCTTTCTGCAGGTTGGAAAATGTGATAAGAAACCATCATCAGGCCTCTCAAAGAGTGAAGAGCACTCAGAGACTGTGAGGTAGGTCTAACACACAGATATTTTTAAAAAGGCTAGGGTTGTCCAGCTACCTAATTAGCTTTCAAGTGTTGGCTTTCCTACTTGACTTACTCACTGTAACTCATAGATAAGTCCAAATTTGTTACAGTGTAGTCTGTTATGTGTTATACTGAATATTCGAATATTCATGTTCATATTGCATATATAGCAACGGACAACTGTAATATCAGTCACCTCAAAGTTCACTTTGTAACATCCAAAAGAAAATGTCCATGAGATTGTTGAAAACATTTTACAATTTGTTAATCTATTTGAGTCACATACAAAAGGAAAGTATACCTGTTTTTTTTTTTATTCTGAGCTTTTACACATAAAACATATTAACACTGTGTCATTATGTAGTTAACAAAAACTAAGCCAAAATTCAGAAGGAGTGTGTGTAAAACTAAGTAGACTTTTACTGCTTCAGTGTGACCACCTTTATAAAGCCAGAAGTGTCCCTTTCCCAACGATCCCTAAACATTCAAGACACCTGCTAATCTTCCCAAAAGTGAACGTCCCAACAAATTCACCCCTAGGTCAGACCATGCAATGCCATGCTGCCAAGAGAAATCCTCTTCTCTCTAAAAAGAACATGGCAGCATGGCTGAAGTTTGCAATATTGCATTTGAAAAAGCCACAGACTTCTCGAACAATGTCCTTTGCACAGATGTGACCAAAGTAGAGATGTTTGGCCATAATGCACATAAAATCCAGGCCTCAACGTAAATTAAATGTGGTAGCAAGAGCTGTGCATTAACAAATGCCTGCAAACCTCAGTAAAAAGGAACAATGTCTGAAAGAAGAGCGGGCCAAAATTCCTTCACAGCAATGTGAGAGACTGATAAAGTCACAGAGAAAACAATTACTTCAACTTAATTCTGTGAAAATGCAGAATCATAGGGTGTGTTTAGTTTTTTGCACACTGCTTCTGCATTTTGACTTGACTGTTCCTCTGACGCTGTAGTTAAAATAATTTAAGAACATGGTAATGACCGGATGATTTCTTGTTATGCCTTGATAAGGTAAAAACTTGTGTACCGCATGGTACTTTCTTTCTTTTTGCAAGCTTTAAAAATACAGTTATGCAATTACTACTGTACACTAGCTTAGTAGTAGTGTATGCACTGTTTTCAGCTGACCTGCTTAGAGATGAGGTGTGAATGTCACCAGAGTGGTGTGGTTTAACAGCACACAGCTTCCTCATCTCTATTGTTTTAAATAAATAATCACAAATCAAGTGAATGACAAAATTCCTTGTCAAATGTTCAGTGCACGGCAACTCAAATATGAGCTTGAGACATTCTGAAAACTGACCATTTCAGCCTTGCAAATCCTTACACTGTATATGTCATGAAGTTTGTTTGATTGTCTTTTCCACAGTGAGAAGACTTCAGCCCAACCTTGTAATTCTGGAATTTTTCCTGTTAAAGAGAATCAAACATTTTCTCTGGGTAAGAAGATGATCAGTGCAGCTTACCAATAATTATAGGGAAATTTTACATTAAAAGATGATCTATGACCAGACATTTTAATTTCAGTTGGTAATCCGGGAGTGGTAGACTCCAAATCAAAGCGCTACAATGTGGTAATGATTGGAGACAGCAGTGTGGGAAAGACCTCCTTCATGAAAAGAGCTCAAAGTGGGAAGTTTTCTTTAGATATACCTTCCTCAATTGGTAAGATCCTGGTGTTAATCTCACAATTAATCCTACTAATGTGTATGCACAGCGATGTACACTCTAAATATACACGTAAATATTGTTTATAGGCCTGGATTCGCTGATGTGGCCTGTTGTAATAGATGGAAAGCCTATGATACTACAGCTATGGGACACAGCAGGTCAAGAAAGGTAAGTCTCAATTTTCCTCTTATATGGTAAATGGTCTGTATTTATATAGCGCTTTACTAGTCCCTAAGGACCCCAAAGCGCTTTACATATCCAGTCATCCACCCATTCACACACTGGTGATGGCAAGCTACATTGTAGCCACAGCCACCCTGGGGCGCACTGACAGAGGCGAGGCTGCCGGACACTGGCGCCACCGGGCCCTCTGACCACCACCAGTAGGCAATGGGTGAAGTGTCTTGCCCAAGGACACAACGACCGAGACTGTCCAAGCCAGGGCTCGAACCGGCAACCTTCCGATTGCAAAGCAAACTCCCAACTCTTGAGCCACGATCGCCCCTCTTAGAATGAATCAGTGAGACCAATTTTTGATGTTTCACAGAGCATTTAAATTATATATCACTATGCAAATGTCTTGAGCCACTCTAAGTTTCTTTATATTTTGATAGCAGTAATCTGCTGTAGATTGGTTTGTAAGCCTGCCAGTTATTATTTGGTCCTCCATTTGTCCAGTTTCCTAAATTTGTAAGGACACACAGCACACCATGCCAAGAAGTGACAAAAAAATTGGAAACTGGCAACTCTTTAGGAATCATGTTGTTGGTTAAAATAAAAGCATAACAGTTTTATTGACTGTCAAACTGTGCTATTTTTTGGCATTTTTCATAGATTCAAGTAAAGAAATGGGAACAAATTATGTTTTTCTGACAGGCTGCTAATAACAAAGTGCCCAAAGATACAATTTAAAATGGGTTCTTTGCTAAGTGTTTCCTTGCTGTAGACAAAACAATGTATCTCCCCTTGAGTCAGGTGCCATGTTATGCCATCTACGCTTGAATTATTCAAAGGTCAATTTTATGGTACAAGGACTGGACTAAGAATGAGTGAAAAAGTAGCCAATATCCAAAGGAAAACTTTGAAACACCTTCAGAAAGCTGGAGAACTATTGCTTAAGACCACTTTAAGATTTAAAAGAAAGTCCTTCCAGGCAAAATATAAAGAAATGAGGGGTTTATCAAGACTTTAAAACAGTTTTGTCGCTGAAAGAAGCCACATTGGAGAGAATACATTTAACAGGTTTTTTGAGTTTTATTAATGTTTTTTCTAGTCTGTTTTGAACAGTACATATATTATAATGTACGTAGGTCACAGTAGGCTGCCTGTAGGAGAATAACAAATATCACAGTCGTCAGTGTGTTACGTATGACAGTATCAAAGTCCAACTTGTCTGACTTTTCACAGCCCTGGAATTCAGGTTATCTTTTACATTTCACGTTAGTTAAATTCTGTAAATGAGCAACTTGTCTGAGTATAAAAACACTGGGAGCAATACGTCTGCATTTCTGTGACGTCATAAAGACAAAAAGCACAGTTTGTCCATTAAAGTGCGTTAATTATCTAGTTGAAATTCTGAATTCTGCCAAGCCTTGTGATTTTCTCCTTCATAGCATGGGTTTGTCAGGAGTAGAATTGAGCCAGGTGGAAAAAGCAAAGATGACTTCATAATGAGTGCAAAAAGTCTATCCTTCTAATAAAGCAAGAAAAATGGCAAAACCTGTGCATGACAGTTCATTTCTGCTTACTCATTTCTATCATACTGCTCATGAAACTAAAAGTTAACTACAGACTTGTACGCACGAGTCCCAAACTACAATACAGCGACATATCCTGAAGGAAACATACATATCCAGAGAGAGAGGAAAAAAAGAAGCAAATTTCTATATCAAGGTTTTCTAAACAACTACTGCTTTTTGGAGTTTGTTTGAGCCAGACGTGAACAGTTTTATATCTGTTTTGTAAATAAAGCCAATCATCAGAGAAGACGCCATCTCTTTTTTAAAGGTACAGGCTATTATTTTGTGGTTTAGGATGTCCTGAATGTTGTGCCACATGCAGTCTTGCTGTTCTAGGGAGTGGCTGTGTTTTTTCAGTGTATAGATAAACTTCCCCGATGGCCAAGGACACACTGTCCCGCTGTTCCGAAGCCTGACAAGGAAGGCTTCCAAGTAGGCGACACCCAGTGTTCAAAGCAGTGTGTACACCTTGGAATTCAACCGAGATCTGCAGTTACTACTTGTAACAGTGTTTACTTAAGTAACACTTGCTTTTGTAGATAGATACGGTATAGCAGCCAATTTCAACATGTAACAGACAATATGCTCAGATCAGAGTTACACTTGAGCAGTATTTAAAGACTGCTCAAGTGTAACTGGTTTCAGAACTGGTTTGGCACTCCTCAATAATGTTTTGTATTCCAGGATACAATGCAGATTTTGTTCCAGTGACAGAGGTGGATTCAACACGGATGCAATTTAAAGATGCTCACTTTTAACTGCAGATTTTAGGCAGACTCGTGTTGGATAAGTTCAACTAAAAAACATAGCAAGAGTGAGAAAGCGTTTGAGACATGCAGTTCCCCAAGAGTTTACAAAAAGCCTCCTTAATGTCAACAATAAAGTGAAGCTTTATTCCAACTCTTCACCTAATGGGCAGGCTTCTAAGATCTATTTATTTTATTTTTACTACAAAAACATCTGACATTTACTTGTTCAAGGAGGGAAGTCTGAGGCATGGGTGTGTCTTGAAAAATATGTTCAGGGTAGCCTCTGCAAACTGCATTAAATGACAAATTTGTGACATTAACTTTTGAGTGAATGTGAGGAAAGTAATTAGAATGTGCTACAGTATGCAGAGCTAGTGTCTTCCTGGTTTCAAAAAGGAAGTATTAATAGATCACCTTTAATGTCGTGCTTTTCTGTCTTTAAAGGTTTCACAGTATCACCAAACAGGTCTTCCACAAAGCCCAGGCCTTTCTCTTGATGTATGACATCACCTCCACCAATAGTTTTTCCGCAGTCAGTTACTGGGCAAACTGTATTCAGGTATGTCTTCCCTTTCAAACTTCAACACCTATTTTTTAAACAGATGTTGAAATTACTAGTTAAACATGCTATGTTGTCAAAACAGTGATTTACTTTTATATTCATTTAGTGTATTTGGTTCTAATAGGCGGGGCTACACTGGCCACTTCATTAGCACACCTGTTCAACTGCTTCAAAAAAAGGAATGAACTAAGCACATGCAAGTGCATTGTAGACATAGTGAAGACTACCCGCTGATGTTCAAACACAGCATCAGAACAAGGAAGAATGATGATTTAAGTTAACTTTGAACATGGTTGTTGGATCTATTTCAGACACTCATCTACAATAAACTTTTCTCTCACAACCTGCCTTGTTGCGAGAGATCAGAGAATGGTCAGGCTGCTTCAATCTGATAAGCAGGCAACAGTAGTTTTAAAAAAAATTACAAATAACCACCATAAGGTATGCAGAAGAGCATCTCTGAATGCACAATACTTATCAGCTTTGAAGGAGAAGGGCTACAGCAGCAGAATAACCCACCGGGTGCCACTCCTGGCAGTTAACAACAGGAAATTGAGGCTACATTCACACAAGCTCATCACAGTTGGTTAACGGTAGTCTGGAAAAACGTTGCCTGGTCTGATGAGTTTCGATTTCTGCTGCAGCATTCGTATGCTGAGGTCAGAATTTGGTGTAAACGACATGAAAGCATGGATCAGTCCTGCCTTATTCAGGCTGGTGGTGGTGTTTAATGTTTGGGGGTTTTTTGGCACACTTGTCAATATGGACCAAACTCTCTGGGAAATGTTTTCAGTGCCTTGTTGTATCAATGCCAGGAAGAATTAATGTTGTTCTGAAGGCAAAAAGGAGTCCAACAGGGGTACTAACAGGTATACCTAATAAAGTGGCTTATAAGTGTGATACTGAATTGTGTATTTAAAACAGCAGCACATATTTTGATTATTAGTAGAAAAAAGTATTAATAAATTTAAAACATCAACTATTTATAGTGGACGGGACGTGAGTGTCTGAAACAGTTGAACCAGCCTGCAAAGTTAGACTAGTTTGTAATAAGATAAGATAAGATAAGATAAGATAACCTTTATTAGTCCCACACGTGGGAAATTTGTTTTGTCACAGCAGGAAGTGGACAGTGCAAAAGTTATGAGGCAAAAATTAGAATACAATAAGATTATCAAAATGATTCCTGTTCTGCAGGAGTCTGCTGCTGAAAATGTGACTGTTTTGCTTCTTGGAAACAAGAGCGACTGCTCAGAACGACGGGTTAAAACTCATCAGGGGGAAATTCTTGCTAAGGTGCGAATATGTTGCATTACACCCACTCATGAAACAATCACATTCAGTTCAGTAGTTTTAATGATCAAAACACCCACAGTGAGTGCAGATATTCATTCAACTCCACAGGAATATGACTTTGAGTTTATGGAGTGCAGTGCTGCCACAGGTGAAAACGTGATCCAGTCTTTGGAAGTTGTAGCCAGGTATGTATATAATGTTAATGTTTTTCTCTAAAACCCACATCTTTTAACATCGATATGCCCTGTAAAGTCGACTGCTGTGTCATCAGCTGATTGCACTGTTGCTGTGTTGTTGCCAGGAAGCTGAGTCAAAGAATTGACTCAAGAGAAGAAGCCACAGTGTTGCACAAAGAGCCAGAACAGAAAAAAAGCTCAAGATGTTGCTGAACAAATGTGTTTGTCTTCAAAAAAAAAGAAAGAAAAAAAAAACAAGTGGTGAAATCCTGAAAACAAGAACACGCTGTACTCATCTGGCTTTCTTGTAACTCAGTGCATTATATTTTATTATTTGCAGTATTCAGTGTTGTTATATTTAGATATAAAATTATTTCTTCAAAGGCCTTATATTAGAATATTAGTTTATAGTTAGTAGTGACCAAAGTTATATAGTTCAGAAAGTGAAGGCTTTTTCAGTGTTTGCTTAATAGCTATCCAATAATTTAATACATATACAAGCTTACTGTATTTAATTATATTTGCACCGTGTGTGTTTTATCTTGCAATATAACAATTTTTGTGCAATATTGTGCAACTTCAAATAATTTCAAATCACACGATTGACATTTTTCCAGATGAAGCTGTAACAACTAAAATCACAAGTTTAAGATTTTATGTGCAATTTCACAAAGTTCATCTCTGTTGTTGTACATCGACTAAATGTTTAGTCTACACCCTCTTCACTTTATGGATTTACTATACTGAAATTTAATGTAAATGTGTATATAGTATGATTAATTTAAACAGGAGAATACCCCATTCAGATATTACCAGAGATCAAGATGTGACCGAGAGCAAATCTAGTACAGTGGTAAATAATTATTATAGTAAATATATATTAAACATAATTATACTTGCTTTTTTGTGATTTTGTTTAGCCTTTCTTCTAAGTTGGCATTCATCTTAATTCAGTCATCACAACTGTCAGATCTGACACATAATTATGAATAAACATTACTCCCCTATAATTATAGTGCCAGGGACATGATCAGCAGTTATATATGCAAATGTATTTTTATGTTCCCGTGCATTTCCTTTGTGACCAAGTACCTTTAAACCAATTGTTTTAATGGCGTGTCACATGATTAATAAATCTCCAGATAAACAACGTCTGCTTGTGTACTTAATTTGTGCCCTCATGGAAGTTATGGGTTTCCAGACTGACAAAGACAACTGTGTTAGCAGTGGAAAAACAAGTCCGACAATGGTATGAAGAGCATGTCAACAATGGCGCCACTGCAATAATCTCATATAGTCCCAAAGGAGGTGTTGTGGGAAAGAGAACTACTGATCCCATGGGAATCATGTACCCACCTATGAGAAGTTCAGTTGAGTAATGTGGTTATTTCTGTTTCAGGCTTAAACATGTTAAAACAACAATAACATCAAACTACCTGGCAATGGTAGATTTTTCTGCTGTTGCAGATGAGCTTAACATGGTTATACTTTTTTGTCTTTCAGCAAGCAAAAATAGAAGAACAAGGGCAGGTGGTGAGCCAGAAAAACAAGCCAATGACAAAAGTTAAAGAACAACAGCTCAGGCCCTGCAGGGCTCCAGTTTTGCCTATTTGGAGCTGGACCCCTGCTGTGCATGAGCTGTTGAAGATTCAGCTCATTTCCCCATAAATAATTTCACATTACTAAATTCTTTAATCTTAGACATCACCATAATGCTGTGAAAAAAAAACCCAAACATTTTAAATTGAAGCAAAGTGGTTTAATTTCAAGTTACCATTTTTATCCTGTGGCACAGACCCTCTATCATTTCTCTTAAATGGAAAGCTGGCTGCTTTTCTTTGGTTTGCTTATTTCCCACATACACTGAAACTTAACAAGGATCAGACCTGAGTATGACTCCAGTTAGTCTAATCACTACTAGTTTGACATTACTGGTTTAAATTTAATCAATGTCTGGAGCCACCAAAACAAGTGTAATGTTGACCTTTGGCCAGCTGGGGGAGTATTTGTGCCAGTAAAGCATGTATTTGAACTCATCTACAGACCTAAAAAACAACAACAAAAAAACCCAAACCCACAGCAATTAAACTGATATCATAATCAAACGCGTGCATTCTTTTTGGTCTTTATTATTGTAAATTCATTCAGAATATAAGAAATAATATTAACATTAAGGAATTAAGCAATACTACAGCATTGCAAAATACAGTTCTTGTTTTCCACCACAGTGAATTTTATATCGATTGATATGTGCAGACTTCTGGGTTTAATTCAATGGGTTTTACAAAAGTATTGCTTTAAATGTTTACAACCATTTGTATACACATCCTGTATACAAATCCTGGTCAAATGTTCACCGGGATTTCTAGTCTGCAAACCTCTTTCCTGACTGAGCTAAACTGTGGGAAGTTATGCAGCATCATAAAATATTTTTTTGATCGGGTCATAGGTCAATGATAGGCCTTAAATGACTAGTTATTTTACACGATCTACCTAGCAACTCCGTCATTAATTTCACTTTGTTGAGTTTCTGTGATATTGTCTTCAGACGTTTGTAATGCAGATGTCTTGTTCGCTGCCTTAGAAGGTTTTTTATTTTTCTTAGTGGAATGATACAACTGGATGGCTTGCATGACATCAGCAGCAGTCCAGTGGTGATGGATCAGAGCATCCTGTAGGGTAAAAAGTCCATCTCTGGTGCGTCGTACTCCATTACACACTGCTGTGCTACGCAGTTCCAGTCCTATCTCATGCACAATTTTACGCAGATACTTCTGAGTCTCATTTAGGCACTGCACCTCTGTAAAAACAGGAGACATGTTTGAAACTTGACCCGCATTTTTTTTTTTTTAAATCATCAAATATGTTTTATGTGTTCAAGTGAAGATTACCTAATGTGAAGTTGGGAGGCTGGAAGCGAATGCAACGTAAGCCGGTCAAGATGGGTGTCGATTTCCCCTCTGGACCCAGTAAACCTTGCACAGCCATCTCATAGGCTTCCTGTGAGCGCATGTCTATGCTGGAATACCTGTACAGCAAAAAAGAAACTAATCAAATATCGTTTAGTACTGTTGCAAATATTTACAGAGGGTCTTATGCAAAAGCAGAGGGTAAAAGATGCCATTATTAGGTTTACAGAAATGTAACGTCTTACGTCAACAATGTTTTTTGGTTGACTCCCTCCAGCATTGACAGCACTCTCTCCAGCTTATCCTGTGTGATGTGATCTAGGAGACAGCTTTTTTTTAAGTATATTTAAAGGGACATCAGTTCACATAACAAGTGTTTTGCTTATATTCTTGCACTTCAGGTATATAAATTAGAACTGCTCTTATAAAACCTTTAAAACCACATACACAATTCAGTCACAGGCAGGGCTGAACTTCCATAAGGCAAGAGGTGGAGTACACCCTGTACAGGTCGGTATTCTGTTGCAGGGCTAACAAAGAGATGCAGACAACTCACATTCACATCTACGGCCAATTTAGAGTCACCATAAGAGTCACCATATTTTTGAGTTAAATTGACACGCATGTCTATGGACTGCAGAGAAACCAGCCCAAGGACTGGGAGAACATAGTCCTCACAAAGACTCCAGCAGGTCAGTGGATTCGTAGCCAAGACCCTTTCCCTGCTGTGAGGTGACAATTCTAAACACAACACCTTTGTGCCGCCATGATACTTTATCGAAAAGGACTTTGCTATTTTAAGTGAAAGATTGAGGAAGCTCAAACTAAAAGAGAAATTATTCATACCATAGGTGGATCTTTCCACAACTCGACCTGTGTTAGTGAAATTATCTGTTGCAGTTCCAAATTCAGCCTCCAGGGTATAATCCTGCAAGAAATATTGTAGAATTGGATCTGTCAGCGTTGGATCTGAACTGCATCAGTTTATGTCTGAGAGAAAATTACAAATTACCCTCGTCACTCTTGTGGTGTAGAAATCATTCAGCGCCTTGTTTCCATTCCCAACGGCAAGAACTAGAATAGAATAGAATTCAACTTTATTGTCATTGCACATGCACAGGGCAACGAAATGCAGTTTGTATCCATCCAGAAGTGCTTTAGCCATGATATAGATATATTACAATATATATTAGCAGTAATATAGATATGTAAGTATATTACAGAAATGGGTCTATTATGGTATGTTATAATGTACACGGTATGAAGTATGTTATGAATATTCTATAAGTATGTACAGGCTGTAGTGAGTACAAGCTATGAACAGGCTATGAACAGGATATAAATATGAAATAAAAAACTATACAGAAATCTGAGATATACAGTTATACAGAAATGCGAACTATGCAAGTTATAAACACTTGTAGGATTAAAAATTATCGTTTGTACAGAATGATTATTTACACAGAACTATACAGTGATGCAGTTAAGATAAGTGAGATATGTGGATAATTTCTACAGAGGCTATATAAAGTGCTAGTGGTTGTGAGTGATGGTTCAGTCCATGTTATTATTGTGTGTTTGACGTTTTACATTTTAGAAATATGTGGATATTCTCAGATCATTCACAAAACGAATGCCAACACTGTAATTAACAAATGATTTTTTTCAAATGAGCAATTCTAAAATTATACCTAGAACACCCGAGGAGAAAGTATCGAGGCGATGTCCGACTCCAACTCGGATATGCTGGAATTCAGGTCCTGTGACTAAAATCAAAATGAAACATTATATTCACTCACTACAGTGTTATTCACCACACCTGAGGTTTAATTTACTCCAGTCACATCTAAATTGAAACCAGATTTCATGGATGACCTGTTACAGGGTAAAACGGTGGAGACACAGAAATCTGTTATTTCTGTGTCTCCACAGAAAAAGTTATAAACACTGTTCAATATCAAAGTGGAAAAAAAGTTGTGAAAAAGAAAGTACAACCTCTTTTAAATCAAAGGGTTTATGTGTCAAATATCATCTGCTACCAAAAATGACGCAAATACAACCTAAGATGAACAACAACATGACACACTGTGTCTCATTTATTTATCTCGGCTTCTGAAATGCTGAGGCAGAGTGTAAAAATGGCCAATGACCATTATGGCCAAAACTTTCCACTTTGGTCTCATCTCTCTACATTATAATAATCATTATAATGATCACTCCAACTGTAGAATGGTGGACTTCAGATTGTTTGGCATGACCTTATAACTGCCTCATCCTGTTGCCTCTTTCTGCTTTTATAAAGGTGGTCACACTGGCTGATGATCAGTCAATCAAAGTCTATACACAATTGTGTATTTAATTTTTTTCCACACACTGCCTCTGAAATTTGGCTTAATTTTTGTTAAATAAACAATGACACAAAATTATGTTATCCACTGTTGTTCATCCGAGGTCATATTTACCAAATGTGAAGACTTGCTGGAGATCAGAGGATTTTTTTTTTAATGCTGCGACATGTAAAACTGTAGAAAAGAAAGAGAGTGTACTTTTTTCACTTGTTCTGTAAAAGTAACAGATTTTAAGTTTTGTCTTTTTTTGTAAAAGAAGGGCTGTGAACTTTGCCACCTGATGATTTACTGCAAACTAAAGCATCTGACTGTGTTGTGAAGGTGTTTATACTTTAAAGGTGGAGTGATAGGGACGAGAGGTTGGTGCAGCTGGTTTCACTTGCACTTGGTTTTTCACAATGATGCTAACAAAACAGCTGCATGGACCATGAGGTCAGATAAATGTATCTTAATGTATCTGTTAATGTATCTTCAGAGCGGAGACAACACTTGTTAACATTTTCAGTAAGGTGGATGTACATACCCAGAGGGTGCTTGGATAGTACAGGAACCGATACTGCTGATACCGTGAGTCCTTTGGACGCTTCACTCTCGTGTCTGGGTTGTGCTAAGAGTCGAACCTCGTGGGGAAGTGGCTGGGAAGGCGCAGCATTCAAACCTGAGGTGTAATACACGCAAGGACATTCAAGTGTTAAGTTAAAGGCATGCTGAGTATTAGCTGCATCATGCCTCAGTTTAACAGCACGCATGGGTGATTGACAACAGGACCACAAGACACCAGTGAAAAATAAACTACACTCACCTTTAAGAAGATTTGTCTCGATGCTGTCCCGTACCAGTTTCCAGTGAACACCAGCAGGTTTGTAGACACAGAACAGGCCCTCTAACTTCCGAAACGTCCGAATAGCTGGAGTTGCCATTATTCAGCAGCATCAGATTATACTTATGTCTTGGAAAAATAATAAAACTAATTAAAAAAGACTACATGTCATGGAAATTTTGACGAGTGACAGTTGTTTTGTTTCTACTGCCACTTTCTTCCATGTGAGCCTACGCGCATGCGTACATGATGACGCTTTTCATTCCTTATTTTTGGCCATACCGCCATCTACTGGAATGGATGTATGTGTACGCTATTTTAGTCCTTATATAAGTAGAGAAACGCCACCAGAGCTTCCACCAGAATTATTAAACAGCCGCTTATTGTGTGTAGTAACAAGCTGGGAGACGTGGAAGAATAATTGGTATTTTATTGAGTTTTTTTTTTGTTTGTTTGTTTTGTGTGTGAATTTTTACGGTTTGTTTCAGAAGATGGCAGTAGCAGCCGCCACTCAGAGAACAGAGTGGAAAAGAGGACGAAGAAGAAAGCAGGCAGCTAACTTTAGTCGCTGTTTATTTTCGTTGACAGCTGAGAAGACTTCAGTATCATTTCGGCATTTTTCTAATTTGAGGTTTTTGCTGTAAGCTGAAGCTTTGGCCTCTGCTGTTAAACTGCTGTGTGCGGGCAGGTACGTTAGTTTGTTTTCACGGGACACTGGTCAGAGAAACGCTACGTAGTTATTGTCAAACTCCACTCTTACATATCCAATTATGGTGACCTCGGGGGCAAGAAACACGTTGCTAAAACCAAATATGAGTTGAACTGAAACCTGGAGCTACACAACGAAACAGGATTTGGACTTATCCAGCAGGGTATACCCCCATGGTAAATGTGCTGCCAAGCTAAACTTTATTATGTTCCAGATTAGAGATCAACATGAGGTCATTGCACACTGACCACTCAGTCCTCCTTGAAAATAATATCGCCATTCCTGGAAGATCAGACACCTCTGTACGTGGATAGTAGAAGGATCTGAAGTATTTTAATAGCATTAGACGACCTGCGCAGCACAGTGGTATGATGGTTAGTACCGTTGTCTCACCGCAAGAAGGTCCTGCGGTGAGACCTGAGTTCCTCCACAACCTTTCTGCGTGAGTTTTGTCTCCCTCCCAGAGTCCAAAGACATGTGGTTCGTTATCGTTAGTTATTTGGTTATTCTAAGTTGGCAATAGGTGTGAACGCGAGTTTGGATGGTTGTCTGTCTCTCTGTCTGTTAGCTGTGCGTCATATTCGTGACATGTCCAGGTTATACCCTGCCTTTCGCCCTATGGTAGCTGGGATAGGCTTGCTTCCTATGAAAAGTAATTTCTTCTTTCCAACAGTCATCAAGTGCTTTCTGGAGGATTACCCAGTTGTTGGGGTTTCTCTCTTGTATTGTAAGATCTAATAATGGGCAAAGTGAGGCTTTGTGATACAGTGAAATATTTGAAGCAGTAATGCCAGGATTATGTTGCAGTTTCAATGTAAAACATGAATCTCACACGAATCTCCACAGTGTCACCCACTGGCCACTTTCACTATCATCACACCTTGGTAGGTACGACAGAGACAAGCAATTGTACAATAGATCATTAATGACTGTGGCTAATAAACGCTGTGGTTCAGCAAATACTGTCAGACTATAATTAAAACATATTCAATAATAAAAGTGTAATAAAATACAGGAAATGTTGTTGACCAGTGGTCAAATTGGTCACGCTTAGTATTACAGCAGCAGTTTTGAATGTCTTAAAATCGTCACCCTGAAAAACAGTTCCCGTAACAAGAAAATAAATAATGTTAATAATATTCAAACATGTTTCTCTGTGTGAAACAGCCTGATTAGATAACTCATATTTTGCTCAGCTGTTGTCTTCTCTTTGGTGTCCATCAGGTGTGATGCGAGCTCCTCTGCGCTGGGTGCTATGGGATGTGAAGGACACCCTGCTGAAGGTGCGCTCATCTGTGGGAGAGCAGTACTGCAAGGAGGCAGAGCGTATGGGCTTGAGCCTCAGTCCTGTGGAGGTCGACGCTGCTTTCCGGCAGGTTTATCGACAGTATTCCAGTAGATACCCAAACTACGGCATCAGTCAGGGCCTGAATGGACAGTCATGGTGGAGGGGGGTGGTGCGGGACACTCTCTCTCAGTGTGGTGTACAGGAGCCAGACTTGCTAAACACAGTAGCCAACAATCTTTACCATAACTTCTGCAGCGCAGATAACTGGGAGGTAAATGATCACTGACACGTTCATACACCTAAAACACCTTGTTTAAAGATTTTAAACAGTTCCTCGAATAATGCTTTTTTAAATTTTATGCAACAATATATAAATAAAGGCTACAGGATGTGTATTTTCTTTTAACTATAATCATCATAATAAGCATTTCATACTGAACCAGAAGAACAGAGCACATTAAATATCTGACTTGTAAAGCAACTTAAACTTTGCCCCCGATGTTTGGAGAATGTCATATTAAACTGTATAATATTCCTTTGTTTCAGGTATTTCCAGACTCAAAGAAGGCTCTGGAGAGTTGTTCTTCTCTTGGACTGAAGCTGGGTGTGGTGTCCAACTTTGACAACCGCCTGGAAGCAATCTTACACGTTTGTGGGCTGTTGTCATACTTTAGCTTTTTAATAACATCAGAAGAGGCTGGTGTAGCAAAGCCCAGTCCGGCCATCTTTAGTCAGGCACTGCAAAAATGTGGTGTGCCAGCTGATAGAGTAGCTCATATTGGGGACCATTATGTTAATGATTACCTCACTTCTCGGTCTATGGGTATTCACGGCTTCCTTTTAGACAGACATAAGGATGGCCAACTCGATGTTCCTAGGGAGCATCGGCTGATTTCACTGGATGAGCTGCCGTCACGGCTCCAGCAGCATATGAACTAACATGAGTCATAAGATAAGATAACCTTTAGTCCCACACGTGGGAAATTTGTTTGGTTACAGTAGAAACAAACGGTGTCAAGTGAAATCTACTCAGAACAAACTGGCTTAATTAGCGAAATAATGTATGGACTGTTGACTTAAGTATATCAAACTACTTCATCCTCATAAGACAAATGAAATGCTGATAGAAAAATGTAAAGAAATCTTAACATATTGTATAGTTATGTTTCATGTCTTTGTATTATAAAATATGTTGGGAAAAATAAGCCTCTAACTATACTGTGTCTCTGAAAATAGAGAATATGAAGTGAGGCAGCAAACTGTCAGACCTTCGACAAGGTTCTGAAAACATTCCTGAGAGATTGTGGTCCATGTTGATATGATGGCATGCAATTGCCATATGCTGTTTGGCACGTGCGCATCCATGATGCAAATCTCCTGTTCCCCACATCCCAAAGGTGCTCTGTTGGATCAAGGTGTGGAGACTAGAGCCCATTTTAGTGCATTGCCATGTCCAAGAGAACTATTTCAGATGATCTGAGCTTTGTGACATTAGAAGATGGGAACACTGTGGTCATAAAAGAGTGGACATGTTGCGCAATAATAATCGGCTCATTTGGTACAGTGTCCCAAAGGATAGATTCATGGTTTTCTGGTGTTTTAAGCCAAATTCTGACCCTACCAACTGACTGTCACAGCAGAAATCGAGACTCATCAAACGAGGCAACTTTCTTTTCCTAATCTACTGTCCAAATGTGTTAATTTTCCTGTTTGACTGAAGTCCCTGTGTGGTCGTCAAGGTTCAAGGTGTTATGCGTTCAGCAATGCTGTTCTGCATACCTTGGATGTAACGTGTTTTGATGCTGTTGCCTTCCTATCAGCTCAAAGGAGTCTGGTTATTCTCTGACCTGTAGTAGCCACAGTGCATTTTCTGCAAGAGAACTGCTGCTCACCAGGTATTTTCTCTTTAATCAACTATTCTCTGTAAACCCTAAAGATGCTTGTTTGGGAAAGATCCCAGTTGATCAGTGGTTTCTGAAATAATAAGACCAGCACAAATAACCAGTGAGGTCGTATTGAGCACATCTATATGGCTGTGTGCATTGACTTGATTTATATTTTATTGATGTCAGTGACTTTAAGGTGGTTGACTGCAAAAAAAATCAGCACTGAAGTCTATAGTTTGTGTCTTTGCTTCTCTGTAATGTCATATCTGCACCATCAGGCTAAAATGTCTGCTGGCACCAAGGTAGTGCCAGTGGAAAGCATAACTGAGGACTACAACTTTTTTTTTTTTTTAAATTAAGAAGTTTATATTAACCACTGGAGGAATTGTTTTAGAAGACAAGCCCAGAAATGTTTTTGCAGCACTCAGGACATGTCAATTCTTTTACCATCTTTTTTAATAATCGGTTATTTGGAACTTGTCCCCACATTTAGGGAAATTATACAAAACAACCGAGTAACCATCTGCTTTGAGCAGAGCTGCTATGAATTGTAGGCAGCAAATGTATTTGCAATTGATTGTGTCAAGTCACATAAAACATCCACAGATCAGCTGAAATATCATGGCAGGAGTCTTGCTGTAAAATAAAGTGTCCTGAAAGTTGCCTGCATTCTCTCAATTTGTGCTCAGCATCAGCTATGCAGGTACATTTCTTTAAAAGGTTATTCATTAGCAGGCCGCTTTACAGGAGCTAAAAAGCTCTGATCATCCCTAATGATATTTCTCAGTGCTTAGCAGTGAGGGGAACAAGGCAGGGTTGCTTAACCCTAATACCTTTGTAAGTAACCACTTTAAACCATCTGGTCAGAGGCAGATACTGGGAATGTTGGACTGAGGATCAAAAGAGCTGCAGAGAGACCAAAGTGGAATTGCTATTTACAGCAAGCTCCAGCCTCTTATAGAATACAGATTAAATCTTTTTTGGAAGAATGTCAATGTTTTTAATTTTTAAAAGAAAGAAAAAAAAAAGACGACACCCCTCCCACAGTGTTCAAAAAAAAAATTTTTTTCCCCAAGTCGTATTTTCACCTTGAGTCGTGTCCAGTAAAATTTTTCCCCGTACGAATGCTTGTACGTTGAAGGGTATTGTATATCTTTAGGGAGTCATCCGTAAGAGCTGCTTAATTCAAAGCTGGTTTAGTAGCTCAGCCAGACGGCTCTAAAGGGCTCCACAGAAATCCAATTGCAGGCATAATGGGATTGCAAAAAAACCAAAACCAAGCTTCTCATGCAGAGAGCCAAAGGGAAGAGCAGAGGAGGTGCAGCATGTCATGAGGGAAGATGTCAATCCAGTGACTTACAATCAAAACAAAAGCCCAGCATGTCAGCACGTGAAGCGGACTCATATTGGAGGATGAATGTTTGAATGTGAATGGGTATAGATTCTGTGAAATAAAGAAATTAATAAATAAACAGGCTGAATGGCTATATAGCAGAAGCTGGACAAAACGTTTCCCTCAGCCATAAAAGCACTCAAGACTGCAGCTCTTTGTTCAAATGTGCCTGGGGTTCAGAGTTCCGTGTTGGCATTACTGCATCTTGAAATATTCAATGGCACAGAAAAATAGAGTAGAAGATCAGAAAATTAGGGTATTTTGAGAGAGTGAGCGCTTCACAAGTGAAAAGAAGGTCACGCAAGGAATAGAAAAAGAGACTTGAGAGATGGAACAGCAATTAAGAGACATATGAAAGAGACAGACACACACTTGCATATTTAATTCTTCATTGGAAAACAAATAATGGAGGCTTTCCAGTTGTGCCAGCATAAGTCTGGCACCATAAAGGGATAATGCATGAGAAGCTCAACAGCAGGATGTGTTCACCCAGCAAATCCCCCAAATATATCTGTTTCAATCCTGCAATACACATGCAAATTCTGCAATGCAAAAATCACGTACTGTAAACAAAGACAAGTTTATCATCCACTCAGAGGCTTTTGGCATAGAAACGCCATCACATTCACAGTGAACACACAAAGCATGTGCACATGCTTCACAATAGTGTCAATTTGTCCTTTAATTCCCTTACCAGTAACATAAAATTATTTAGAAATTTCAAAATAACCACTTTAAACTTCAGAGGCTTTTTTTCCCTTTTCCTTTTTTTTTTTTGAGCATTGCTATAAACACGGCACTCGTATGCTTTGCATTTAAAATAAAAGCTGTGATTTAAGTGCATGCATGCTTAGGGGTATATGTGCAAACCGCGTGCTTAGTCCCATCAGTGCTCGTTCAGGCAGTTAGAAATGGCAACTCTCGTATGTGGATGCGTTTAAGTGTCTACATCGTGCAGTGAGTGCTGTTTTGTTTAGCTTTTTTATAAGCAGTGAAGAAGCTTGCAGATGAGCGCAATTTTCCAAAGGTACTGTAGGATAAAGTGGCCACTCGTGTTGGTAGAGTTCTTGCTTGCAAATTTTTAAAAAAAAAAAAAAAAAAAAAAAAAAAGGGAAAAAAAAACAAAGAACCTCTGATGCATGCACATGTACAGGTACAGCTTAGGAATTAAAAAACGGAAACTGACAACCATTTTCGCTTCAGGAGCAATAAAGAAAGTTTCATCAAAAACGCTACAGGAATAACTTAAAGCTGCAGTCTCTGCATATACATTTTGATTTAAGATCAGGAAATCAATGTGCATGAGTCTAACAATTTCTACTTCTGTCGAGTGAAGTGAGTTCCTTCCCTAAAAACAGACACTAAAACATGTTAAAGCACCGGTTTCCCCACACCAGAAATTATTAAAATGTCCTTCGTGCTCATAGTGTTCTGATGAAAATGTGCAAAGATATTAAAAGACAAAAATAGGAATTGGGGATGTATGACTCAAGTGAATTATTCTTGTCCTGCAGCTTGAAATAACGCCTTTTCTATTCAGCATCCACACAGGGTGATTAATGGCCTTATAGATAAATTCCCATGTCCTTTAGGCCAGCCATAAACTCTAATCAGGACACACAGGGCTCTTCTCATGCATGATTTGGCGGCAGCATCAGTCTCAGAGGGTCAAACAGTCTGCTGCAATTCTGAGTATTTTCGTAGAATCAAAGAGCAAAGCAAACACATTCCTAGATTGTTGAAGTCCAAAAGGTCCCAGTCATCAGATAGGAGAAATGGAGCATTTAACCTCCCACATGAAGGAGGCCTACCTCAGTCACACTTAAGATACTGTATTATCACTTCCCTTCTGGCCTGCTGTACCACTTTGGATGTAAGCCGTGGGGTTTGAGGACCAGGCAGATGAGGAAGACTGAACACGGCATGAAACGAAGAGCTCATGTTCAAGTGAGATGTTTTCTCAGACCACTGAAAGACAAAGCCCAAACATTTATGTTTATGTTAAGGAATTGTCTAAATAGTTAATATTCAGAAGATTATCAACAAATTCCACAAAAGACGAACATTAAATTGGTGACGCTGTTGTGGTACATGAGGTATGATGATTATTTTTTTTATTTTTTATTTTTCCATAGAAACTCTACTTTTTGCACCCCTTTCCTACTTCCAGAGGGCCTTCTATTTTTAGCTCCCTCGTGGAAATGATCTAAAAATAACAATCACTATCAACTAACCGAACCTTTACAGGGGATCGTCACTGCTGATGAGAGCTGGGTCTCCATCTATAACCTGAAGAGACCACAGTTTGCAATCCCAATGATGGAGAGGTCAGGAGCAGGAGCGGGACTTTTAACTGAATTCAAAGTTCTAGTAATCAACGGTTCAAGACTTTTAAAGTAGTATATTTTGCCAGCATGCACCAGCACACAGTTTACTGGCCAGACCTACACAATCAAGTTGCTTTATATAGCTAGGTCAAGATCCTACAAAACTATAACACATAACCCAACACAAGCATTTGGCAACAGTGGGAAGAACAAACTCCCTTGCAATAGGAAGAGTGCTACAGCAGAACTGCAGTCGGGGAGGGGCCACCAGCTGCCTCAACTGCCTGGGTGGGGTGAAGCGCACATCATAAATTCAGTTCAAGGGGATAACGGAGGGCAAAATATAAGAATTTAAAAACTACTACTAATAAAAGTACTCCAAGCAGTCCAAAGTTGACCTTGAAAGAAAAAACGTTATGTGATATACATTTATCTGCCAAGTTTTTTTAATGTCCGTTTCCCAGCGTTTTGAATCTTTGTGATTGCACCTTCTATCTGCATTGTTGTCCAGTTACACCAGTCACAAACATGTTCACAGATTGGTGTTCACTAGTCTAAAAAGGGTCCCTGACAATATCTTACTAGAAATCTCTGTGGCCTGTTTGTGCTTAATGCAGAAGCTCTTCAAACAACTCTGAGCCACACACAGCTGTCAGGAAGTATTGAGAAAAAGAAATGATTTCATTAAAAATAATGTCCATAACAGAAAATTTTAACCGTAATCACAGACAGATAAATGGATGCACTCTCTGTGCAAACACGGCAAATGTTGACAGCCCATATTAGTTGCCCACAGTCTTCACTGCTCTCAGCTTCCACCCTCTCATATTCATCTAATGGATACTGCATCCCCTGCAGTGTGTAAGTGGAACTATGAAGTTAAAAATGCACTTTGTAATAAGAAAGTAAAGTCAAGTACCACTCTCAGATGGACAGCAGGACACGCCGTGCTTTTCTGTAACATGGTGATGTGCGTGGCTGCGCCTGCGACAGTCCTGTCTCCACCAGCAGCTGGAAGAAAAATAGACCAAGCAAACTCACTGTGGCATCAATTTCATCTAATTTTCAATTAATCTGTTGCTTACAGCACAAGATATTTATGTAACTTACTGTAAGACTGTACATAACACCATGATGAGAACACACCCAATCACACACAACACCAGCATCGTGGCAATGGTCTGTTGCCTGTGATTGGTTGCAACTACAGCGAGGAGGTCTGCATGCTCACACCTCATCCCGATAAAGCCTGGATGACATCTGCAACACAGAAAATCTGGATGAAAAAGAGCCGCTGATGGACTTTCATGACACCACTGCTGGCTAAAATGGAAAGTTACAACAGTTGTAGTTAAAGATTGTGATTTCATCCAATGAATCATATTGATACCACAGACACCAGAATGCAAAATGTAAATCTGTTTTTAAATCATTTTGCAAAGGGTAGCAGAACAGCACTATCACAGAACAGGGCCATCTTGATGTGAACTAAATGATTTAAAGGCTCGAATTATCTCTGGTCACCAAAAATTATATAGAAAGGCTCAATATAATACCAAAAACAAACCCTACACACCCGGTGGAACATCTCACAAATAATTAGGTTTATGTAACACCTGTAAAGCAGGCGTTTTTGGTTTTTTGTTATTTTTAGGTGTAAAAACGAGGGGGGGGGGGGCACAATTTTCAGGCCTGAAAACTGGGGCCACGGGATATTTTTAATGTTTAAAAACATTAAAAATATCCTGTACTGGACATCATTGCGTTAGCTCAGGAATAAAATAATAATAATAAAAACCCACACAACATCAGTGACAAAAGTTTGTATTTTTATCCACAAAAGCAGCTTTAGATTCTGCCATAAAGACTAAACCATATGTGTATTTGAGATAATAAAACACTGCAAACTCCATTGACATGAATAAGATTATGATGCACTCACT